TTGATTTAACAAAAGATTCAAGCATATATTTTAGGGATAGTAAAGAAATAGGAAGGAAGATTCAATTCTCATTTGAACTTCAACACTATTACATGTGCAATGAACCTAAATGGTCGAAGTGAAGTTCAACTCTATTAGATGTGCACATATGATTTTTTTTTTCCAAAATAATTCTCGTTTTCTAAGTTTTGTGGCTTTAATCTGGTCATCTCTAGCCATTGTAACTAGAAAAAATATTGCTTAACATTATCATTTTGAAATAATGAAGTTAATTGTCATAGTAATGCCAACCATGTGTACGGAGAACTTAACACTATTTTTAACCTTGGTTTTTGTTTTGCTGTTAAAAGTTGATGAGTATATGGTAATATGTTTCGTTTTGTAAAAGTTGTACAAAACTGCATTACTTCAATCTAATATAATGCTATCGTAGTATAATGCTAGCACTGTTGATTAATAATCTCTTTGCTTAAAGGCATCGAGTAATGAATTTTAGATCTTTGTGAATATTATGAGGTAGAGACTTTGTCAATTGGACTAGTACAAATTTGGGCCGGATTTTCTCTTCAAAAGCCAATGGAAGCTCATATCTTGAAAGCAACACAACTACCATTGAATTGTTGTTTCTATTCGATTATGATTATATAAAACTGTTATTTATTTTTATTCTAATTTCACGAGGTGTTTTTAGTCTATAATGAAGTTATATCATGTATAATTCTAAATATTTCTTCTTAGTGGTTAGTTTTTTGTTCTTACTTTCTTTTAGGAAACATTAAGGTGTTTGTTCCAAGTTTTGAAATTGGATAGTGTTGATGTTGGGAATGTATTATAATGAATTTTGTAGCTTCAAAAAGTTTATTTTTATTATGTTTGGTTTATTATATGTTTTTGGATTTACTTATGTAATAAGTAAGAAATTTGGGCATCAATGCTTTAGAGAATAGTTAAAGATTGGGTTATCGTAGAACAAGGGAAAAAAAAGATTACGTTGTCAAGCATCAACAATTATTTAAGGTTTTTTGTTTGTCACATAGTGCTTTTAGGCACAAGTAAGTACTAGTTGTGTCATATCTATGATAATGAACGATATAAATACAAATAAGTATGATTATAAGTATTGTAGATATGTTTAAATTTTTTTGGACTCCTATTTTTAGAGGAAATTATGCCGAAATGTTTGAAAAATAGTAAAGACTAGCTTGATTTCAATTTCTTATATTAAAGCAAATGAAGTAAAAATTATTTCAAATTGACGGTTTGTTTTAAATTGCAAAGTGTCTTTAGGCAGTGTAGTATTTTTTGAGTTTTAATTTAATTTTTCGTTACGTCGTGCCTTCAAGCACGAGCAATTATTAATTTTTTGTATGATCTCTCAAGCAGATTATATCTAAAGTGCGAACCATTTTTGTCACGAACTTGCTAGGTGATACCTAAATAAGAGTAAAAAAAGTAAATTAATCGATAAACAAAACTCAAACCCATTCAAATAGTCTTTTTCCATACACCTCCCTCCTCCTTTCTAATTCAACTTGTCATACCCTTTCCCTCGTTCTTACTCCATACAGCCCTTTCCCTTACCTGTAATATGTCTTTTCTTTCCCTCACCACCCCAAGCCACATAACTCCCTCCTTTCAGGGTGTCGGTTTTCAACCCAAAACGTTAACACGACACAAAATGAGTTAACACATTTAAAAAAAAAACTCCTGTTGAATTTGTACCAAAATCGGATCAGCCCGATTTTGACACAATTAACCCCCATATTATTAACGTGGTAATCTAATACGGACACGAATCCGACCTAACTCAAACTTATTTAACCCTTTTATCAAAGTACACAAAAAAAAAAAAAAAAAAAAACCCTAACTTCATTTTCCACTTTCCAGTTTCCACAATACAACTTGTCGCTCAGGAGTACTGGAGGATGGGCCTCACTCATTAGTCATCACTTTTCAGGGTCAGACATCGTTTGCATTTCATCTTAGTCTCTCAACTCTCTCAAATCTGGAAGCTCGTTCTCATCTCCAGCCAAGGTTCCAGTTCCAAATTTGGAAGTTTCAGACCTTACTTTTCTCCGTCTGTCCAGTTACGCCTAAGGAAAAGGTTCTCTCTCTCTCTCTCTCTCTCTCTCTCTCTCTCTCTCTCTCTCTATTTAAAATAAAACCGTAAGTTTTGTCTTGTGGGTCTCTCGATCGTGCCTCTTCTGCTGTTGGAGTCTAACAGCACACAGTGATGTTAGGTAGAACGACGTCATTTTGGCCAAAACACACTGTCACAAACGACGTCGTCAAACTATATATATATAAAGAAAGAGAGAGAGAGAATCAATTAGTCTTTAAATTTGAATTTCAGATTTATGTAAAAAAAATTATTGACATATCTTCATTGATAGTGAATTATGGAAAAATAATTCTCAAGTTAAGAAATTAATTTAAGGCTGCTTTCAAGAAAGAGTATTTTGGAATTTTAAAAAAATAGTGAAAGAGTATTTTGGAGTATTTTTGACATATATTGGGTCGGCCCTATTTAAAATCATATATTAAATCTTACATCTGTAAGGTGATATTATTCTATTTTTCTTGAATTTTATGATATATTAAATTCTTGTTATAGTATAGTCCTTTCTAGTTTAAAATATTAAAATTCAAGATAAACCCAAAACAATCTTTTTATATAAAATTTGATTAAAATTTATTTTTTTATATATTAAAATTCGAGCTCATTATTTTTTTTTACATATTAAAATTTAAGTCGATTTGAACTCAACCTTAGTTGTTGGCACCAATTAAAATTCGATTTAAGTCGATTAAAATTTATATTATTTTACTTATTAAAATTCATACCAATTAAAATTCGATTCAAGTTAATTAAAATTTATTTTTTACGTATTAAAATCATAATCAATTAAATTTATATTTTTTTAAGTATCAAAATTCGGACAAATTAAAATTTAATGTGAGTTAATTAAAATTTAATTTGAACTGATTAAAAACATATTTTATTCGGCTCAAATCAAATTTTAGTTGGCCCAAATTTTAATACGTAAAAAATTTATAAAATAAAGAAAGTCTCATTAAAGATATGTCTATCTAGAAGAGTGTGGATAAAATTTATTCTAAAATATATTATGACCAATTTAGTAAAATTGTATTATAATTAAGGTCTTTAATCTAATAGAGGGGTGTCAGTGTAGATTTTAAAATTATAAGAAGTGTTCTTGTAAATATATTAAATTAGAGGAGGTGTGATTAAAATTTTCTTTTGAAAATGACTACTCGATAATAGTGGGAGAGCGACGAGGCCCACGTGGCAGCAACCCTGGGTAAGTTCGACTGACGATACCGCGTGAAAGACGCGTAACCGCGTTTTTGGTAGTGGAAGAGAGAGAAAAAATGCCGACCCAAAGATATTTAATACCATTTTTAATTTTTCATTATTAACCATAACCATATAACAAATCCTCTGCTAATTCTTCTGTATGTCCACTCCGCGTAAACGCATGCATTTTTCTTATTTCACTACCCTCGTCCTCATGGAGTCGACCAAAGATATTTTTCTGGTTTGGTTGGTGTAATGACTGAAATACCCATGTGGTAATTCTATTTTTATTTGATTTCTTTTTTTTTCTTCTGTACATAAGTATCTTAACTCATCATGCTTAAAATAGACTCCAATTTGATAAGGTAATAAAAAAATAATTCTTAAATGAAGTAATAGGGGTCTAAGAGTAAAATTTTGTTTAAATGTTATTTGCATAAATAAATATGTAATCATATACTTTGTGATTGAATCATTTAAACCAACCTTTTTTTCATAAAAGCCAAATGAAGAAATCAAAAATACGTCCTTAGGTTATTTCTATAAAACCTTTTTCTTTTTTTTGACAACACGATTTTTCATGCAATGATATTTTAATTTTGTATTATCTTATTATCATTAACATAATTTTTTTGGGGTAAATGCATATCAAAAAAATAGAATTTCATGTTTATAAGGGGTATAATATCACTCAAAGTTTGGAGTCACCCAAATTAATGTTCAAGGAGGCTCAAAGGCCTCCTCCATTAGAGACCATTCTCTTTATTGATTCTCTTAAAACTTTTCAAATAACACAATTTACTTTTAGTATCATCAACATAATTGATTTAAGATTATAAAATATGTTTAATTAAAAAAAATTGAGAGTACAATGACATATGTTTGTATGAGAAGAGTGTGACCTTTCAATTTTAGTTAGGTTCCCTTGTCAATTGATAATTTAGATAGATGTCATTGATAAATTTATATGAATTCACTAATCTCTCTAAATATCTATTAGGATCCAATAAATATTTTACAATCTCACAAAATTGATGCACCTCTTCTTCTTTTTTTTTTGTTGAATTAAGATGTTAATAATAAAATTTTGACAGTTAATTTATGCGTGTTATATCATATTAGTCGATTGTATATGTTTTTTAAAGGTTTTGTTACTAATTATACCAAAATAAAGATATTGTCGATTATTTGGAAGTTTGCAAGGCATCACTCCTACCTTATAGGTGTGTAATCGAATATGATTTAAATACATCAAATTTCGAATTAGAGGATACAAATCTAAAAAAACAAAAAGGAGGAAAGAAAGCTTCAGGGGCATAATAGTCAATAGGAAAACGTAAAAAATTTGTTGCAAAGAATAAAGCTAAAAAGACAGTAGATTAAGGGGTAAAGCGGTGAAGACGGATGCGTCAAATTAGATCAACCGATCACATCCGCGGATTTAATGAAATAAATGCTAATTATAAATGTTTTATTATTATATTTATATCAAATCCTTTGCAAAAGTAGAAAGTCTTGTGCTGATGCTATAAAACGCGGACTCTTGTTCTAGACTCTACGCCACCAAAACAAGCAAGAGAGACAACCCCCAGAGACACCTCTCTCTCTCTCTCTCTCTCTCTCTCTGAGTGTTGTTCCTTATTATTCCAGGATTCAGAAGTGGTGATACGAGGTAGAAGAAATGGCGGATCAGCTTACCGATGACCAGATCTCCGAATTCAAGGAAGCCTTCAGCCTATTCGACAAGGATGGAGACGGTTCGTTTCCCCCCCCCCCCCTCTCTCTCTCTCTCTCTCTCTCTCTCTCTCTATCTATCTGCCTATATATATCTCTGTTTGTTCCTTATGATCAGATCTGCTTAGATTTGGAAGTCGTTTGTTGATGACTCGGAGTCTCCAAGTACTAGGCTTGTTAGTTCCTTCGATCTTAATCTATCGACTCTACTTGTGGAAATCCGCTTGAATACCATTAGGACACTCTTGGATTCATGGTGGTTGGTGAACCTGAATAAAGGGTGCAAGCAAGGTGTTGCAGTTGGATTTGGGTGATTGAAGAAATTTAGTGTTGGGGCGGATCCAAGTTCCGGCAACTTTTCGTTTTGTTTTTCAGTCTGTGTGAGCGTTGTTTATTTAGTTTATAATTATGTGGATCGCGATTGTCCCAGTATGACCCTCCATTTGATTCCGACGAAGCTAAAGAGGGACATAAAGAAAAGAAGTCAATTCTTCAATCTGACATTTATCGTTGTTTTTTAATCCTTAGGAACAAAGTCCTAAACGCAGCAAGCTTCGCAATATAATCAGTTGGTTTTGGTGTCTCACCAACTATATGGAAGGTTTGTTTTGAAAGATGGAGACCCTGCCGTTTTTTGACCGTTTAAATCAATGAGTCTGTTGCCTTACACGTGCTATCTCGAGAGGGGTAGTTATGTTACCGCAAAAACTTTTGGGGTTTTTTCATGTCATTCCTGAAATATTAGGAGGTCCCGGTGTAATTCATCGCATGGTTTCTATTAGCACACAATTTGAGGGAGGTTAGTGTCATTTTTAACCTGTGTGGGGTCTTCGTGTAATTATTTGAGGGCTATTTCTGTCATACATACAACCATGGAGGGAATCTAGTGTAATTTTAGGCAGAGACCATAGAAAGAGGAAGGGCTCACAGGGTCGATCCCACATCTCTTAGAGAAGAGGAAGACCAGGGATGATAAGGGATAACTAACTCTACAGCTCTCTGCCCTCGTGTAGTAATTGTAGGGTTGTTTATGTTAGAAGGTACAAAGTTGGAGGGAGTCAAGTGCACATGGACATGGTAGCAGTCGAACTTACAAACCCTATGCGGCAATAATGCATGATTTGGCAGTTCTAAGCATTGCTCTAGTAAACATGTTTTTTTCTATTTATATGCAGTTTTTGGCATTTTGCTTAATTTGATATACTGATTTTACATATGGTCTATGCTGTTGCGTAGCTAGGAATTAATTATAATTATTTTAGCTTGTTGGCTTTGGCCTGACAGATGGAGAATTTTGATTGTGACAATTGTAGCATTTATAACGTTGACTAGCTATTATATTGTTCTTTTCATTTTCATTGTTGAACTCTTCTTTGGTAGGAAAATGCTGAAGAAAAAAATTCAATTGGAACATCCATATTTAATAAAAGCTGATCTTCAAAAAAATTTGCACAGGTTGCATCACTACCAAGGAACTTGGTACTGTGATGAGGTCTCTGGGGCAGAACCCTACTGAGGCTGAACTTCAGGACATGATAAATGAAGTGGATGCAGATGGTAATGGAACCATTGACTTCCCAGAATTTCTGAACCTCATGGCCAGGAAGATGAAGGATACTGACTCTGAGGAGGAGCTGAAAGAGGCATTCAGAGTTTTTGACAAGGATCAAAATGGGTTCATTTCTGCTGCGGAGCTGCGCCATGTGATGACAAACCTGGGAGAGAAGCTTACTGATGAAGAAGTTGATGAGATGATACGGGAGGCTGATGTTGATGGTGATGGGCAGATCAACTACGAGGAGTTTGTTAGGGTGATGATGGCTAAGTGATGACCTGCCCTACGCAATCTAAAAAGTAAATGACTACAAAAGGAAGAAGAAAGCCCTCAAAAATGGATGAACATGGTTAACTAGTGTACTGGGTTTCTAGTTTCCTCTCACCATTTTATCTGATGGTTTTGAACCTGAACATGCAAAGGACTTAGTGGTCTGTTGTAATTGTTTCTTTATTGATGTGCTCTTGTATTTGGCAGCTCTTGATGTTTTTTCCTTTACATTTTCCTGATTTCTGGTTGGCCTACCTGCTGAGAATTTATTGTTCTCTGTTGGATGGATGACTCATTCTGCTAATGGTATTTGGCTGTTGTTTCCTATCATTGTGCATGAGAATGTTGAAGTGTTATTGAAATTGAATAGGCCTTTTTTTTTCGGTAGAACAGGTATAAAATGTGATCCAATACGACTATTTTCACCTATTATTTGATTTGGACTTTGGTTGTTGAGGAAGAAATATGAGTTTGATTATATCCCTTGTGTTCTTGGCATACTTGTATCCTATATTTGTATCTGTCATCTTGAGCTTTAGCATTTGGCAGTGAAACCTGAGCACGAGAAGTGCATGTTGGACTTGGTTTTGGTTGGAGCTGCTTTTGGTGCTTCTTCCTGAAGGTTGCAACATCTTGTACTTTGTTTGGAGTGCTTAATGCCTGCTATTTGATTTTGTTAGTAAATTGTTGTCTACCCCAAGATTGTATGAATGGTATCTTCTGTTCAGCCATGCACTCGGTTCATATATTTGCAAACATCAGTAAAAAAATGCTCAGATTCTAAACGAATTCACATAATACTAGGTCATAAAATTAGAAAAAAAAAAAATCAAAACTTTCTAATTTTATTATACCAACTAAATCATGTTAAAATTGAGTTGTGTTTAGTATTTAGCTTGGCCTGTCTATTTTTTATGTTAGATAATATCATTTAATGATTCATGGCGACAACTAGTCAATCGTAAAATAATTTCTTGTCAAATTAACTTATCTTGCCGAAAATTGTGACCCTAAGACCCTTGATCCAAATCTTTTTTCCCTTTGATGCCTTTTATTGAACCTGTTGGAGAGGAGAGGAGAGGACTGCTGCTTTCCTCTTTTAGCCAGCCACCAAACCAAAAAATATTACATATACAAATCCCTGAAATAACATTAAACCCTCGCCCAATAAGAGTTTCACTCGGACTAATCTCTCATTCTTTGCTTCAGTAACAATTCAAACAAGGACACAAAAACTAATGCGAAATGAAGCACATTGAAGCACAAACCAATTTCTTTATTCTATTTTTTTTTTTTTTTGTTGACCGGGATGGGGGATTGGTGTGTTTTGGGGTTTTGGGGGCAAGGGGTGTTGAAGTGCAAATCAGCTGTGACTAAACAGTAACGTTGCCATACGAAACTTGGCTGCTCTGCCATTACACATGCTATTCCTCAAATAAATTTTTAACTCCGCTGAAACCCAAACCACATCCCCGGCGTCAATTCTAGTCCTATCAACTCAACAGGGTTTTCAAAAAAAATAACTACAAAACAACATTGGTACGATTGCTCTGCTTACACAAAACTGACTTCAAATAGAGTCACTACTCCTGTGTGGACCCAGGTTCTCTGCTGTCCTCACCGGTTTCATTGATGCCCTCTGGTTCCTCTGATGGACCTGATGATTCAGCCTTTGCAGGCCCTGGACCAGCCGATACCTTCACCATCGATGGACGCAATAACCTGTCACCAAGTTTGAAGCCCTTGCGAAATTCCTGAATTATGATGCCTTCTTCAAATTCAGTGGAATCCTCGCGCATAATAGCTTCATGCAGCTTTTACAAGAACAAGAAAAGACTATCAAAACAGACTATCGAAGTACTGGATAATTAATTTTAAAGAAGTAATCACTAAAGATAAACTCTTGTGGAATTTTGACATGAAACCACTTAGGCTGGTGCTGTGCATCAAAAAGGCCGGATGTGATGGAAATATGTGCCTTCAATGCTTCTCACACCTCCCCAAAATTCGCAAATGTTTAGGGACTGATCCAAGAAATGAAACTTAAGGTGCTGAAAACTTAATGCATTACAAGAACAAGAAAGGACTGTCAAAACAAACTATCGAAGGACTCCATAATTTATTTTACAGAAGTAATCACCAAAGATAAAACTCTCAGTGGAATTTTGACATGAAACCACTTAGGCTGGTGAGGGCATCAAAAAGGCAGGATGTGATGGACATATGTGCCTTCAAATTCAATGCTTCTCACACCTCCCCAAAATTCGCAAATGTTAAGGTACATATCCAAGAAATGAAACTTAAGGTGCTGAAAACTTAATGCACATACATACACATAGCTTTTCACACAAACTCACCGAGTTGGCTCGAATCAATCGAGACTTGGTTTGAATTAAAAGCGTATCCAGGTCGTTGTAAAACCTGAACATGCTTTATACAGCATTTGATACTGTTCATCAAGTACTCGACTGAGTTTTGAGCCAACTTAGAGTTGACCTGCATTTAGGGATGGCAGTAGACCAAAAAAAAACGGGGTATTTGTCCAAACCCGCCCCGTTTGGACCAGAAATGGACTATACGTATTGGACGGTAAACGTATACGGGGATACCCGTATAAATCCGTGCGGCGACGAAGGCGGGATGGACTTACCCTTACCCCCGCCCCGCCCCCGTTATATATATATATATATATATATATATATATACATACACTCCAATAAAGCCCTAACCAACTAGACCTACTCTCTTTAATCTCTATCATCCATTCAGTCTCCCGCCTCCATACTGGTTGTCGACTGCTCAATGTCAACAAAGCCTCTGCTATTCCTCAACGCCGACACAGCCTCACAGGTCATTGAGGTCAGTCATCTCTCTCTCTCTCTCTCTCTCCGGTGACTTAACATCGTGGAGGTTGTGAGGAGTGGACCGAGTGGGCATTGCTTATGCAAGATTGAATAAGATTTGGATGATTGAATTCGGTGGGCATTGGAGCCGACATGACACCCATCATCTCGGTGGGCATTGTTTCTGCAAGATTAAATCTTCCGTTTAGGATAAGATCGAATTTTTAAAGGTGATATTTGATTTGGATGATGGGTTTGTTTTGCAATATGGGTGTAACTGTTGTTGGTCTTGGCTATTTTATTGAAAAGGTTTTTTTTTTTTTTCAAAATTGTTTTGCTTATAATTGCTTGACTTATATATAGTTTAAATTAGTGATGAATCAATGTTTGTCAAAACCTTTAAACTGAAATCTTCAAAACCTCGAGTTTTACAACGTTATTAAAATATGTATTAATTTTGGCTTACAAGTCAAACTATATTTGAGCAAATGTTTAATCCATCCAAATACCGTTTCAGGCTCAAATGATGAAACTTTTTCATTTTATGCAAATCCTAAACAAAAACATAATTGCAAATTTTGAATGTAGGATTCTAGTTTCTAAATTTCCTCAAGAGACTAATATGAAAGAAAACTTGTCTATGTACTAAAAAATGTTGCAAGGTTTTCTTTCCCCTTTGTCCTTTTTTTCCCCAAAATTGGACTATTGGAGAGTTTTCAAACTTCTTCCAAATTGAATCCTATCAAAACAATTCAAGGCCAATTTAAAGTAAAGAGGTATGGTGTAATTTGGTTACAATTCCATCATTCAATTTGTACACAAATTAACCCCAATGGATTCAAATCAACTACACCTCCATATTGATTTGATTCAATTAACCTCCATATTGATTTGATCCAATTAACTTGTAGATTATGTTGGCTTGGGCTTGGGTTGGGCGGGTACGGAAGCGGGGACGGGGCTAGGAATTAAAAATTTTTCCGCGGACGGGGATGAAAATGAAAATTATACCAATTAACAGGGGTGGACCGGGGGTGGACGAAGGTTTTTAAACGGGTACGAGGATGGAGACTATACCCCCGCCCCTACTTCGGTCCACTGACATTTCTACCTGCGTTGAACCACAGATCAAATAGGAGAATTATTATGCCAGCTACATAGAATGGGCAACAATAAGCTACAATATCAAAAGCATACTGCAATCCAATGCGCATCCATCAACAGGGACTTGATCACAGTGCAGAGAGACTTAGGGATGTAATTTGGGCGGGCTAACCCAAACCCAACACAGGAAAACAGGGCTTGGGTTGAGATTTTTAATACTTAGGTTGGGTCTGGGCAGAAAAACACCAACCTGAATTGAATTCGGATAATACTCAGATTGAGGCATCCGATTACTAAGTTCAACCCCAATATATAAATCAGGCTCAACCCGAATTCTAAATCGGGCCCAACCCGAATATATAAATTGGGCTAAACCCAAACATATTTAAAAACAAATATGTAAATCAATATAGCAATATAACTTACAAGTTAAAACACTAAGGATCAATTTTCTGGTTCAGTCTTATGTTAAAAATTTGGCTACTATGTTTTTATGTTAAATATTGATTTTTATGTTTTAAATACTATGGTCTTTATGTTAAGTTGTTGATTGTTACTTTAGTTAAATATTTAATCGGGCTTAAATGAATCCAATTCGAATTCTAATCTGAAATCAACCCGAATTACATAACTAGAATCCAACCCAAATTTTAACCCAAAATTTGTTTGAATTACATAACCCGAATTCAACCCGAGCCCATCTGAATTAAACTTGGGCAATAATCAGGTTGAATACCTCGGTTTGAGTTTGGGTTAGGATCAGAGTTGAGAATTATATACCTAAAGTTGAGTTAAGGTTGACCCGCCCAACACGCCCGAGATGCACCCCTAGGGAAACTCAAAAGAAAAGCACTTCAAAACAAATAAATAAAAAAGCAGCTTTTAAAAATACTATCGGATTTGGCGAATTGATGTCATACAACATAGGTAAACAGGCTAAGAAAGCTTAGGAACTTACCATTGGATCAAATGCATTCCCGACCGTCTCCACTGGGACAACACCAAGTGAGCCTAAAATCTCCACAAACTGCTTATATATGCTCTGATAGCTGTTGTTGATTTTCTCCTCTCCCTCAGTCTCCACCTTGATCTGGGATTTAGCTCTCTCAAAATTATCTAAAACAGGCAAAAGATTCTCCACGACTTCCCCTTGTGCATTTGTTACCAGCAAAAGTCGCTCTCTTTCTGTTCTCTTCCTGAAGTTGTCAAAATCAGCGCTAATCCTAAGGATCCGCTCTTTCTCACTTGATAGTTCTTCAAACATAGTATCCACTTTTCTCTCCAGGTCAATTTTCTCATCTTCAAGGGATTTCAAGAAAGCTTCTATCTCAGCAACTTTGGGCTCATCATTAATTGCCAAAGCCTCTTTGTATGACTGTAAGGAAGCTAAAATGGCTGAAGCAGATTCCTCTGCATCAACACTATCAGCTTCACTCTCACCAGATTCCACAGCAGATACACCATCAGAATTATCCTGTTCAACACGTATATTAGCAAATTGAAACAGCCTTTGAAAAAGCAACATGCTGAACATGTGTGTGACAGCAAAGAAAATATGAACAATATCTCTCCAAGTGCTGATCCAAATGCTGGCATCAAACAAGACTGAAAATGTAACAAAAATTCCTAACAGTTACATAATTACATTATTAAGTCTAGCTAAGCCTGACTCACGAGTGATGTCCAAAGGTCAAAACAAACGATTGACTTATAATGGTATAGACTATTGTCCAAAACTAAGAAACACGCACACGGGGTACAAATACAACAGGACATGGACAAGCCGGCATGAATTTCTCAAAAAAGTTGGACACGGACACAATGGGAGACACCCTAAATATGAAATATTATGTATTTAGTTTTTTATATATATGATCATAGATGAAATACATATTTTTTAATAGGAATCACTCAATTCATCCTTTCCATAATTCTAGCAATGTACATCCATGAAATCATCAAATAAAAAATTAAATATTGGATTGATGCGCCCATCATTAACATCAACAATCCAACAATCAAATTCCCCACCCTCCTAGTTTATTATTTGGCATTATAAAAAGCCCTCCTTTTCATTTGAATAACAAATAAGGTAAGGCTATGAAGCCCTTCTTTTAGCTGCTTCATAACATTAATTTTCATTTAATTTCAAAGAGCCCTAGTTTCATAACCCTATTTCTCATCAAATTAATTTTATATAAAAGGTGTATTCCATTTTGCATATAACTTCATAATTGTGTCCAAAATTATGTTTATACCAATGTCCTATTCCTTGTTTATAAAGATACTTAACAAGTTTCTAAAAATTTGAAAAAAAGTTCAACAGCATGTCTGAAAATTTCATAGCATAATGTCTGAAAATTATATAATAATGAAAAAAATCGGACACTCATTTGAGCATGTCTGACACGTATCCGAAGCGTATCTGGGTCTTAGACATGTTTGACACCCAAAATCTGGCCAAAATGCAGTATTCGTGCTTCCTAAGACCAAAAATAGGACCCTGTGAATAAAATAAATATTATCAAAGACAAAATAGTGACAACTTCTAAAGCATTACGAGTATCATTTGAAAAGGATTGACAGTGAAGAAACATAAGTCATTCGGTAAAAACAGCAAGAATGTAGAATCCATATCCTCACATTTGTAGCTCCACAGGCCCACATCCAAACGTCACGGTGCGTTAGGAGCACTTAACACAACCAAGCAGCCATTGAAAATAAGAGGCACAAAAAATCAAATACCACTAGACAGAAATTGACAGTAGAAATTCATGTCAAGGTCAAAAATTAAATGTTAATAAATCCCATCACATTTCACATGCAAGCAAAAAGTTATTTAAAGAGTGATATAGCAATGAGGCTTTAGTGTTTGAAAGCATACAAATATAGAACCCTACTAATTCAATTACTAACTCCTCTTTAACTAGAACCATCTCTAATAACAAATCTTTACTTTGCATTCAATGTTACCAAAAAAAAAATGTCACCAAAATAAAAGGTGATACCAATGAAAGATTATATTTAATCATTTCTAAATATCCTTAATCCTCCTTCCATGGAACTCTATCCACATGTTTCGCAACACAGGAAAGGGTCCAAGCGAGCACCTTTCAGGATTTACTCTAAAATAAATCACCCATTTTAAATTCACTTGTCATCAGAACAATGAGGAGTTTAAAGCCATCGTATTGTTTCTGAAATCGCCTTGGGCCCTTGACAGCGTGTAACTCTATCTCTACCTGAGTTGAACTTTTGGAGGTGCTGAAACAAAGTATCCAAAATCCCTCCTATCCAATTATAAAATACATGGACTGCAAGACACACAATGGAGGCTCAGCTGCACCGGCCCTATTGCTATAATGGCTGAGGAATAGAATTCTTCTGTTGAGCTGCCCAATAAAAATACTCTCATCTCTATCCAACCCAATTAGGGAACAGGCCAGGACTTATTAGTCATTAACTAACAGCAGCAATGGTCAACACTCCTGCCTTATTTTAAAGGTAGGCTTTGGGTACCAAATCAAAATCTTCAAACATGGTGTCATTACACCACTTAAGGACTAAATTAGGAACAAAGCAAAGGAACAACTAGAATCCTGCGAAATACATAGTTCCAACCGCAGTAATTTGATGTCTTACTGGAGCAGCATTATCTTCAGCTACTGAAACTTTTTACCCAAAAAAAAAAAAAGTCGGTACAAAACATGATATTTTGACCCAAAAAGAATGGGAAGAAGGCAAACAGGACTATTGAAATTCAATAAGCTTGCAGACTCTCATTCAACTCAATTTCAACTAGAAAGAGAAATCAATTCAATTACCCCCTCGTAAGGCATATTTACATAATATACATTGATACATCAATAACATTATATATATGTATATATGTACCGACATGCATTATTGAATTTGTATGGATACACGATAATAGTACTTGAAGCTCGGAAGCTTGAACTTCTTGCTCTATTTCTTCTGTCTCCGTCTCTGTGGTTTCTCCGTGTGAAGCGAAGGCTAAGAGCACGTTATGGAGGTGGGGCGATCGTTCGCTTGAGGAATTAGGGAAGTAGGGTATACGGCATCGTTTTGAGCATGTCCGTCTGAGTCTTTGAGTGAAAGAAACGCAGAGAAATTCGTGAGGTTTGACGGTGGGGGTGGTTGTGGTGAAGCGCGCCGAAGGCGCCGCAAAGGTTAGTATTCTTGGGACGGCAGTGGCCATTGGAAAATGAAGAGCCGAGAGAAAGAGAGAGAGGTGAGGGGATAACCGGAGGATGTGAGCAATTAAATAGGATATGGAGGGTTAGGAAATGGTAATAATATCTCTAATAATACTATTTAAAATATATTTAAATATTATATTTTCTATTTTAGCTAATTATTTTTTCAAATTTATTCCAACAACGCTATTTATTTTAGCTAATCACTTCAACTAATTTTAACTAACTTTCAATAATAAAATTTAAAAAATAGCAATTTAATTATACATTGTACAAATTTAATCAATTATAGATTACAATAAAGAACCCACCTCCCGAAAATTATTACTCCCAAATCAAATTCTCTTAAATTAAATCACAAAATTTAAAATAAAATCACCTCAAAATTTTTTAGCTTGATCGAAAATTTATGAAGGTTTCGAATTTGATCAAACTAGATGTCATTGTCTCTACATCGATCGTCTCATCTAAACACTAGACCAACAACTTTTGAAGTAGTTAGGGATAAGTGGCTAGTTAGATGTAGTTAGTGAAAAATGATGCTATGAAAAATAAATAAGGGAATAGCTAGTCTGTTGGAGTTACATTTTAGGGAGAAATTATCTAAAATAACTAAAAAAAAGATTTTAGCAAGCCTTTTGGAACATTAAGTGATGTTCTCCCTTTGATCTACACCATTGAATGCTTTCGGATTAGAGAGAAAAATGTGCACCGAAGATCTTTTTTTTTGGCAAATTCCTTCAATTGACGATTTAAAAATCAAAAAAGATAAACGCATAGAGAAATCAGAATACTATTATGACGTTGAAATTGGAGAAAGATAGAAATCGAACAATAACAATTGAAATAATTTGCATGAAAGAAATTCATAGTGGAATCCAATTGAGCATATTTTATATATAGACTTTGTGAGATGGGTATAGAAAAAAAACCTTAAAGGTAAATATTGAGATAAATTTTGTTATTAATGGGGTGGATATAAAATAAAGTGGGCATAGTTACTAGGGGTGGGCACAAAAAATGTAAACTTAGTAATTTTATTATTTATAGTTTAATATATATATATAGAAGAGAGAAAAACTACAGCATTTTTAAAAAATAAGAAAATCAATGAAATATACTCAAAGGTACTCTGATAATTAAAAAAAATGATTTAGTTAAGTTGGATTAGAAGACAAAAAAAAAACACCTAGCATGCCCTAAATACCTTAAAAAATATGTTGTTTACAGTGTCGTAGGCAGAAATTAAGTTTAGGGTAGACACTTTAATTCTAAAATTAAATTAATATTTTTTAATCGATAAAAATATAATGATAAATTTATATTTGTATAGATAGAGATCAATCGTTAAAAATGAAAAATTAATTGTAGGTCAATTATAAGTAATTTCATGTTTAAATTAAGAATTAAAAAAATCATAAATTATATCCAAAAAAATATCAATCACAAAAAACTCTACCACAATAAAATACACTAAATCATATATTAAAGACCGACTATAGCTCATAGTTTAGAAAGAAAAAAAAATGTTAGGCAAGAATTATGATTAAAATTATACTAAAAATTAGGAAAAAAGACATTTATTAATCATATATATTAATCCTACAAATTATAAAAAAATTTCATACAAAAATACGTTAAAAAGTATAAAATAATCCTATATTTTATTAGATAATAATCATAATTATGATGCAATATTTAAAGAAGCTCATAATTTTTAGTTTTTTTCACAAGATGAATTTCAATATGTCCAAAATATATCTAAACATGTCTGAAGTGTGTTTGTAACATACTCAGTCATTTTGTGTCGACTTCTACGAAAATATTAGGGCAGGTATAATAAATATATTTTAAAAAAATTTAACAAAGTGATATATCCAAAATTTTAGCCCCTGACCCTATTGTCCCTCCGCCTCAAATTACTTGGCTTTGATGGCTTAAAACAGCATATGGGTGGCCTTTTGGTCAATTTTCACATTTTTTAACTTAAGATTTACATGTTTTTAACCCGAAGTTTAAAATTAAAATATGTTAAACATTCCGTATATGGGCTTTGTTTTGGAAAAAAATCCATTAAATTTTACTTTACACATCAATAAAATCATAAAAGTCTTATGATTTATGAAAACAGAACAAGAAGTCAAACTTTTTAAGGATGATCCAAATAAGTATCCAATGTAGCTGCCTTCCTATTTAACCATTATAATTGGATGAATAAGTTTGTTATGAACTCTTAATTTATGTTAATTTACCAAAACATAAATTATTGTGTTTTTTGAAAAGCTTATAATATTTTTGGTTACCATTTGCATTTGTAGGATATTCATCAATTTTATTATATTAATGATTTTTGATTTCTAAAAATTAATTTCAACTTGATAATTTGACTAAATTTTCAACAAATAATTTTATAATTATCAAGTCATTCATGGCAAATTCATCATTTTTTATTAACTTAATTAATTTGATAACTTCTTAAAATTAGTATCAACTTGATGATTTGATTAAGTTTGTTCATTTAGTTTGACGTTTAATTTATAACATATTGGTTTAATAAATTTGTGTATGTTTAGAGTTAATAGCATAATTTCTTTTGTCCTTATAAGGGTAAATAAAACAGAAATTTAAGTAGGATTTATTAGTTCATTTTAAAAATTCATAGAACTCAAACGTGTTTTGGTATGTAAAATAAGAGAAAATATTCAATGTAACGATAACACCACTTTTGCATGATAATCTAATAATAAAATTACAAGTAAACAAGTGTATTCAATAACAAATAATACAATGTCTATTTTGTGTATGAAAGTGGGGCTCAATTCATTCACTCGAGTATTTTTTAATAGATGGTGACTAGAGGTGTTCATTCTACCCTATCGGATAGGATAGGAAATATGGTTTTTCATATTTCTATCCAAAATTTTTGGGAAGATTTTTTACTGACCTATTATACTCGATTAAGTGCAGTATTCTTATTCCACTTTTGTCCAAATTAATCGGGTAGGAAATTGGGTGAACACGTTTTGTAGTTATTAATTTTTGGATAATTTTAACAGTTCAATTAAATAACTTGTACCAATTTAACAACACAATTAAACCAGTAACACTAAAACTTAAAACAATTACAAGAAAACCCAATACATAAACATCAATCTATCATAATTGTTACACAAATATAATAACAATTATTTTAAGTTTAAACCATATGAAACACACAAAAAATTATAATTGCTCTAATATAAATAAATAAATGCTGTTAGGGTAGGGTATGAATACGAAAATTTGATGGGTATTCTGTATTCCTACCTAATTTAATTAAAAGACAAAAAAATCTTCTACATTCCTACATGATTTTTTTAGTTGACAGATTATAGGGTAGAGTTGGGTAGGCTAGAAAATTACAGGTAATAAAAAATTTAAATATCACTTGATGATGCATAAAATTGGTATTGCGTAAGATCAACAATAAAATATATGTAAGTGTATAATTAATGAGTAATAAATAAAGCAATTAATGACAGAGTAGTAAATAAGAGCAAACAAATAGATTTAAAGTGGTTTGATCCGGATGACCACCTCTATTATCGAAAATGACAGCGGTGGTCAGAGACTTTTATTGATGAATAAAAGTCATTAGAAGAGTATACTCCGAAAAAATTACAACGCCTTGAGAAAGAGAGAGACTTGGTGTGTAGAGGTCTCCAAGATGGTCATGCCCTCTATATGGAGAGAACTTACATTATATAGCTATGATGAGACGGTGATGTAAGGGAGAGGATTCTACTATTTTGGTAAATACAGTTAATGTAGGATTAGATCTCCATGAATGCGTATTTTGATATTATCTCACATGTGCTTCTATACTTTAGGTTTCCTGGATTCTGAGCTGAATTGGACTAACAAGGTGAGAAGGGATACCACTGAGGCGGTGCTGAGGAGAAGAGAGCGTTGAACGATGGAGAGTCAGGGGTCCCCATGGGTGGCGCCCCGATGCTTTTGGGTGACTCCTTTGGGCGCCGGTGATTTAGACACTTTTTAGTTTATTTTCGTTGGGCTGACCCAGTTGATTTTGCGCTTATTATCCTTAACAGTGACACTACATAGAGTGATAATATGATATCCCTGTTATATTGAATATTTAATTAAAACATAAAATTACATTTTCAAACTAAATTTTTACAAAGTGCAAATCAAAATAGAAGATCTTTTTACCGAGGCTTAAACGGTGTATTGGCCAAAACCAACGATTTCTTCTTTGTTGAAGTACACTACAAGTATAATTGGTTTTGCCTTGGTTTTTTAACAACTCTGTTGAATTTCACTTTGATCTTCTGTGCTAGCCATTTCTTGCAGTGGTGCTAGGCGGTGGTGGTCTTGGAAAGAGGTGTGAGGGACTCGCTACTCTCCTCGTGTTCCTTGCTTCACTACACTGCAACTCTATGGCCATCCACAAAATCCAGAAGAACAAGTCGAAACCCAGATCCCCAATTCTCATACTCTCAGCCTCCTTAGCCTTAGTTGCTCTCTTGTTTGTTGTTTCTTCTGTAGTTTCCACAAATGGGTTCTCAATTTCCAACGCAAAAACTATAGAAAACCTGGTGGGCAAGTCGATAGATCGTCATATACGACACAATGGGCCTGAAAAGTACTTATATTGGGGTAACAAAGTTGACTGTCCTGGAAAGCATTGCGATTCTTGTGAGGGTTTGGGTCATCAGGAGTCCAGCCTTAGGTGTGCCCTTGAAGAGGCCATAATTCTTGAGAGGTAAATTTTCCGTCTTTTTCTTCAATTGGGTTTTTTGTAGTTTCTTTAGAACATATTGGAAAAAAGTGTGGGTGTAGCAGAGTGTACAATTGATCTTTAGAGTGTGTGTATCTTTTTGTCTTTCCCTTTATAATACAAGGTCGGAAGCCCCCCACCCTCCTCGTTAACTTTGTAGCTTAGATATTGGTGGAAGAGTGAAAATTTGCTGAGACAAAGGATATGCATTGGCGGCTGTCTGAGATTTGCTTTTTGTAATGGTTTACTCATTTTTGGGATATTGAGGATAGTTTATGATCGCTGTGCTGTTTTCATTACCTGCTAGTTTTTATTCTTCTCCCTTGAGAGTACTAGAACTATAGAAGGCTAGACTTCCATTGATAAGACTATTTTGGTACGTGGCTATTCAGACATCCATTAGTGATATGATCAGTTCATTTTGTGTGTTTGTGCTCCTGTATATGTGTGTGTGTTCTGTTGTTCAAAGTATTAAAACTCAGCCGATTTGCATCTGACTAGGCCCTTTCCATTCCGATATAGTTTCACATTCTGTAAAAATCACTCATGCAAATATAGGCCTAGCTATCTACAACTCGGTCGCGTCATCTGAGACATTGAATTGGTTGATATGGTTCATGAAAACTGCAATGTTGTCTGACAGTCACGTCTTGTTCAACTTCTGTTTCTATCTAGCATTTCGTCAGAATGTCGTGATACCGTTCTGCGACTTCAGGGATAACTATTCTAAGATTTTTCACAGAGTTGCAAATGGGAAGCAAAAAAAGAAGTTTATTGATAATTGGAAATGGATAACGAAGAAACTATGAAGAGGGGTTGATTGAGAGGAAGATTGTTGAATTTTCTCCAATTTATATTCAGTTCAAGAGGGAGAGAGACCGATATTGGAAGGTTTAGAGTGGAGTCCAATTGATGAGGGAATGTCCAGTTCACTAGACAGGCCTTTCGAAAAGGAAGAAGTGAGAAAGACTGTTTTCAAGCGTGGTAGGGATATGGCTCTGGGACCTAATGGTTTCACTTTGGTGATTTACCAATATTGTTGGGATATAGTTAAAATTGATTTAATGAAAGTTTTAAATGAATTTTTCCAAAATGGTGTGGTCAATGCAATTACTAAAATATGATGGGAAACTTAGAAAAGTCGTCTGTTTTCTTTTTCTCGTATATTTAGTTTGAATATTATATATTTGATTGACAAGTTTGATTGAAATTCGTTCAAGGGGTAATAAAGTTAAAAAATTGATCTTTTTCATGAATTTGACTGTTAGAACAGATCCAAACATACCCATTAGAATTGTGTTAAGATGAATGTGAACCCTCAAAAGACTTGGAACAGTCAACACTATGTATCTGCAATCTCGGATTCCATGTTTCGGGGGGCTTTCCTTTGGGGGTTGCCATTGCTCCTGGCCACATTCCTGAGACATGTGGGGCAGCTTTTAGCATAGACGCCCTTTAACATTTCAATTAAGGACTTGACTTCTATTCTATGTTGTTGAATCGTGGTGATATCTCTATGTTAAGAGATTGGTTTGTGTGCTCCATGATTTTTGAGAAGCTGTAGTTATTCAAGCATTACATTACTTTATTTCTTGTTGCAGGACTTTTGTGATGCCTTCTAGGATGTGTATTAATCCAATACACAATAAGAAAGGGATTCTTCATCAGTCAAAGAAAGCAAGTTTTGAGGAAATGTGAGTTTCATATAAGTTATCTTGCAAGCAGCTATTGTTTGTCTCTTGTTGCGTAAAATTTTAAAATTTTCTGGTTTTCTAAAACACAATTGGAGGCCGAATTTTGCTTTCCGACTGTGTTCTACAATGTGGCACAAATGCTGACATGGGAATTCATGTCTAGCACGCATATTAGGTGTTTCACAGCTAGTAGCTGTGACAGATGAAAAAGGATATGGCTCCTATACCTGAAGAGAGCCTGTTGTGAATGTTCAAATGTCTGGCACTACAAAATTTGTGGACATATGAGTGCACGTGTTTCAATGGCAGTGTGTCTTTCACTTTACATAATTGACTGATAAGAGAAATAATAAAGAAATGTTATCTTGTTGCATTTTGTACGTGATTGTTATTTATGTCAGGTGGGCAGCTAGCTCTTGTGCCATGGATTCTTTGTATGATCTCGACCTTATATCCCAGAGTGTACCTGTGATTTTGGATAACTCAAAGATGTGGTATCGGGTCCTATCAACAAGTATGAAGTTGGGATCTAGAGGGGTTGCTCATGTAGAAGGAGTTAGTCGTGCTGATGTGAAGGGGAAAAGTCTGTACTCGAACATATTGCTGATTAATCGAACTGCAAATCATCTTTCTTGGTAAACTCTCTATTTGTAAGCAACACTGGCTTTTCTGTGTGTGTGTGTGTGTATGGTTAGAACTACAGTTGCTATCTTAGTTATGGAAAGTAGCTGCAGTGATTGTTGGCACTGCTAGACTTGAAAAAGATAGCCATGTTGACTTGAAAATTTCATGATATTCTCGTATCATGAAATTGGATTTGGTTCAGTCTTACACTTCTATAGTGCATCATTTATTGAGTGTCGTGGTACAGAATCGAGGAGGCAAGGATGGGGTCTGACATTGCATGCATTTGAAATTTGGTTCAGCTTTCATGTTCATTGTTTGTATTTTATGAACTAGTTCAGTACTCTCTCTCTCTCTCTCTGAGATTTTGGCTGTTGTTGGCTAAGGCTTACAATGTAATCTTCAAAGTTCCTGATGAACCATATCATGATGTGGGTGAGTTTTTTAATTTTGACAGTTTTTGTGTAGGTATTAATCGTGATAATAATTCAGGTTTATGGAATGCAAGGATCGAAACAACCGTAGTGCTATAACGTTGCCATATTCATTTCTTCCTTCAATGGCTGCCAGAAATCTACGAGATGCAGCGGAAAAGGTTAGCTGAATGTCTTTATTTACCATTTATATATTTCTTGGCCTTGCACTAATTTTCGAACTATTAAACTTGCTTCCAATCACATATTATCTTCTCAAACAGTATTTATCTCCGATGCAGAATGTATGTCAGAGTGATTGATTGCGAGTTGATGAAATTTGGTCAATTTAAAAGCCACTTACTATATTTAGATTTCTGCACAATATGTCTTCCCTTACGTGTGATGATAAGTAATGACTTCTGGGGCTTAAAGGAACCCAAGAAAGCTCATGTTTTTTAACAGATAAGGGGTAAACTAGGTTGGCCCATAGATGCACATTTAAGTCGTATATGGACATATAGCCAGCCTAGTGCACCTTGATTAAAGATAACAAACTCTATTGCTCTTCTTGACTTGCCTTGTATGAGTAACACATGACTTCTAAATAAATAGCAAGGATGCTGCTAAAATAACTGTGATATATTCTGACCTTTAGGATGATGTTCCTGCATCACGATAAATGATGCAGAACAACCTATGAAAATTAAGGAGGTGGCAATTATAGACGGAGAAGAAGATTTGAAAAAGAGGGGAAAACGTTGACAGGAATTACCTCAGCTTGGATGCACTTTTTTTTATAGGAAAAAAACTTTTATTGATAAATCAAATGAAATTTCACACTGTCCGAGCATGGGTGGACAAGTCGTCCAAGTGGATACTGGGATCATAGATACCTCTACGGCTCTACCGTCCCACGAACCAGAGTAAACGAAAGAATTTGCGATCCAGATCGCTCAAATTACTGACCCTAAATTTTAATTCAAACCAACATAAATACTATATTGATATGAATATATAATTTCCTATAATAGAGAAAGCAATCATATAGAAAATGAACTATGACCTAAAACAATGTACCAACTAAGCTTATCTCCCTCATATTGCGTATCAGAAGATGTACCATACTGGTTAACTGTACCTGTACTATGTACCAAATCGACCGACAATCCAGGTACCAACCCCACCATACAAACACAAAAACAAAAACTAAAAAGGACAGGAAAAAAGAGGCATTAACTATAACAGTGAAAAACAAACACCAATCCACAGTTCATCATCCAAGAAGTCAAAGAAAAAGAAGAAATTATAGAAAAATAGAACAAAAAATAGATTGCATGAAGAAAGAGGAAACTTTAGGGAGGTTTTCATGATGTCACTTGAAGCATGAACTCTTTCCTTCTTGTAGCTTTTGGATCTGGAACTTTATGCATCATGACCATGAAATTAGATTGAGATTTACATTGTGACTTCACGGAATTAGCTTATTACAAATGAACCATTTCCCAACAAAGGCTTTGATCCTTGATTTCATCAAGGGAATTGAACAGAGGTGAGGATGTTAGTCTTCAGTGATAACGGGAGAGGTAAGGCCTTCAAGGTCTACAGGGAATTGAGAATTTGGGAGGAAAATAGTTTGAAAATGTGATTGGATTTGGACACCAATTTCAACTCTATCTTTGATCCATGTGCCTTGAAGGTTCTTAGACAATTGATGGAGTTCCTTCTATCTATGATCAATGTCGTAATGTGGAAGAATTTTGGATTAGCATCACCTTCCTTCATCCATTGAATTTTGGATCTTTGGCGCCGTACAATCTCTTCCCTTTTCAAGTATTGCACTATGTGATGGTATCCTTTCTGGGTGGGTACAGCCAGGCTGCTGGTAGTAGTCAATTCTTTTCCTAATTTCTTATGCTCTCTGAATGCAGTTGCCAAAAGCTTCTTTGTTCCATTTGTTGAGCCCTTCTTTAGTGGCTTGCATTACTCCGTTGAAACAGAATGCAAGGAATCCCCTAATGTTGGTCTTCCATGTGGCTTTGACTACATTGTGACTGGTAGTGTCCCTAGTCCATATAGGTTGAAATTTGAAGGATTTGGGGAAGGATAGACCATCTTCTAAGGTATTTAGCAAGACAGGGTTGTGACCAGATTCTATGTCCATATGATTTGTAATCTAATGCTACAAATTAATTTGATAATTGTAACATGAATTTCAAATAAGCCCCTTGCAGATTAAAGTTTAAAACAACAGTATCTAAGAATTAGTGAATTTATGCATGAGAGATCAACATTGGAATTGATTTACTTATTTTGGAGACTATTGGAGAGGTGTAGGAAGAAAAATAAGGACCTTGATATCTGTTTTTTATGGACTTAAAGAAGATGGAAGACATATGATAGAGTTCTTACTGACATATTATGGAGGTTTCGACATAAAGAAAAAGTTATTGTTAGGTATGTTGATTTGATTAAGCATGTATATGACTTTAGTGAGAACAACGGCGGGAGAGACTAATGAATTCGCGATCACTATATGCTTACCTCAAGGTTCTGTGTTTAACCATGTCCTTTTACGCTGATGAAGGATGAACTCTCACGGTGTATGTTATTGGGGGATGATATTGTATTAGTTGATGGTTGTAAAGAAGAAAATTAATAATAAACTAGAAATATAACAATTAGAAAGAAGAAATTAATAATAAACTAGAAATATGAGAATTAGCTTTAGAATTAAAAGGATTTAACACAAGTAGTACTAAAATTAAGTATATGGAATGTAACTTTAGTAAAAGGAGGAATGCAAATTGGGAAATAGTAAAAGTTGAAGATCAAGAAATATTGAAGAATGAACAATTTGAATATTAGGGTTTATTATTAATAGAGAGTGTGAGATTTATAACGACATTTTTGCATTGTCCAATAGCGTTCTCACTTTGAACAAGTTATTTAATTTTGTTGGACTTTATTGAGTGGCACCAAATTCCATCTCTTCAATAATTGGTTTGAATGTTACGGGTTTGGGAGGAAATAGAAAGATGAAGTCTCTTTGGTGGTGTGTTTTTTTTGCAACTATTTAGGTGAACGCGAGGATCTTTGAGGTCAAAAGTAAAGAGGAGGAAGGTTATGGGACTTGATGTTTTTCTTGGCTTCTTTTTGGGCATCGGTGTCTAAGGAGTTTGTGAACATTCATCTTTTTTGTATTACTGTGAGTTGGACAGCCTCCTATGGGATGTAGCATGATCAAACTATATTATTTTTGCTTCTGTGTGTTGTTTTGTTTTTGCTTTTGTGATGATGGACTTTTACTATCTTTGGGTTGGATGTCTTATCCACCTTAGATAGGACTTATTATTTTTAATTTATTAATAAAATATTTGTTATCTATCAAAAATAAATAAATAAAGAGATTGGTAATGATGTGACTCTTAAGCTAAAAAGAAAGTTCTATAGAACAACTATGAGATCCGTTATGCTTTATAGTGCTGATTGTTGGGTAAATAAGAAGCAACTGGTTCAAAAATTAAGTGGAGTAAAAATAAGAATGTTGAGATCGATATGTTGTAAAACTAGAAAGGATAGAATTAAGAATGATTACATTTGTGAAAAAGTAGAGGTAGCATATATAGGAGATAAATTAATGGAGAATCGACTTAGGTGTTTTGGACATCTTTATAGATGACCTATTATAGTACCGGTGAGAAGGAGTGATAGTTATTGATGGTCAGTGTAGAGGTAAAGGAAGACCAAAATTAACTTTAAATCAAATAGTAAAGAAAGATATAATAATTTATGGTTTACAAAAAACATGATTTTTAATTTATAGCACAATGGCAAAACATGATTCATGTAGCCGACCCCAAAAATGTTGGGACAAAGGCTTTCTAGAGTTGAGTATTTCAGGTTTTTTAGCCAATTGTTTAGTTGACAATCATATTATGATATCTTTGATCTTTGAAGTTTCAAAATTTTAAGAAATTGTGGTATCAGTAAAATATATGTGAAGTACAGATCGTGGGAGATTTATTCACAAGCAAGTACATGCATATGCATTATGTGTATACACAGATGTATGTATTCATATATGTACATCTGTATCTCCATGTCTTCAATTTTTATTGTTGCCATGTTCGACATTCGGCATTCTTTTACATTACCAAAAATCGTGTCTGCTCATGGATTCTGAAAGCATTTTATAAAGCTTGGAAGCTTGAGCTTTTTTCCATTGTACCTGGTAAGGGCCTCTTCGGATTTTGTATGTGAAAACTATTTGAAAATCCAAAGCATAGATGTTAATTGATTGTATGTACATGCAGCCTACTGACAGCCTAGTGGAGTTGCTTTGAGGTGATGTTCCCCGGAATGTGGATTATTGTGCTGTGGAGAAAGGGAAGGACTCATGATACACCACTTTCTGTAGAATGTGGTAGATTAAGAACTGGGCTGTATGCTTGTTTTAGGTGGTTAGACTTCATTTTCGAAGATTATATAGGAAACAGCAGCATAGAAACATAAACATTATGTTCAGAACATAATGTCTTGATGTGAATTTGATTAAGCAAGCAAAAGAATTACATTACACTACTTAAAAGCCATTAGCTCCTTCTGTCCCAAATCTTTGCGTAATATTAACCATGGACTAAGAAGCACGAATATGGACACGGGTGTCGTATTTGATACTTACAGATACAGGGATACATCAAAGTTCTAAAATATAGGGCACGGTTACGATAAGGATATGACTAATTAAAATAATATTATATATTTTTTATAAATTAAAAGATTAATAATACGACCTAGTAAACATTGAGCAGTTGGTTAATATTTTATAATTGGATAATAAACTAATATCAAATTGGGCAGGAGAATAATATGTTACAATTGGATGGGCTAATATCAAATTGGATAATGGGTTAATGTGTACCAAAAAGAATATAACTATTTTTTTAAAAAAGCTGAAATTTAAAGTGTGTGTGTATATATATATAGAACCCTGACTACAAAAAGAAAAAAATGAGAGAACAAAAAAAAAATAAAAGAGTTAGTGGGTTCAGAGACCGGACCTAGGACGCACGGATGCTCCCGCGGAGGTCATCGTGGCAGTGTTGGACACGTGTCAAACACGAATACGCGTGAAAAACGGCTGAGCACTTGTTTGACACTTCAACTATTGTCCTAAACAGGAAAAAAAAAATTCTGAATACGAGAGGGATATGGTACCTTACCAGTCCATCTCTTCATTGATCTTTACTATGCCAAATAATCAGCCAAGTATGTCTTCTTTGAAACTCTTCGTCTTCTTCTCTCGTTCTTTTGATTCATCGGACTCTATGCCTTCTCTCTCTCTTTTCAATTTGTGGGAGACCAATCATCGGCTTGCCCTAATTCATTAAATAGAGGGTCTAGCCTCTGAAACTCCCCCCTAACTCTTTTTTTTTGGGTTGGGTTCTCACGCTTTTACTTTTACTTTTTTTGTTTTTTCTAGTTTTCTCTATCTCTCTCTTTCTCTCTCTCTATATATATTTGAATATACTTTAAATTTCAATTTTTTTATTTAAAATATTTTTATTCTTTTTTGATATAATATATTTATTAGTTGTTAAACACATTGACCCATTGTCCAATTTGATATTAGTCCGTCCAATTGTAACATATTAGCCCACCGGCTAATTTGATATTAGCCCATTATTCAATTATAAAATATTAACCAATTGCTCAATGTTTATCAGGCTCTATTATTTATGTTTTTATTTATAAAAAATATATAATATTATTTTAATTAGCCGTATTCTTGTCGTACCCGTGTCTTATATTTTAAAATTTTGACATATTCTCCAGTCCGTATTGTATCGGATACGATACCTTTGCCCGTATCCGTATTCGTATCCGTGCTTATTAGGACCAGACCCTCTATTTGGTGAACTAGGGCAAACTGACGATCGGTCTCCCATAAATTGCATAGGGAGATAGAGAGGAGGGAGGGTTTCAGACCTTCTACCTAGTGAATCAAAAGAACGAGAGAAGAAGAAGAAGAAGATGATTTTCGAAGAAGACATACTTGACTAACTGTCTAGAAAAGCGGGGATCGATGAAGAGATGGACTGGTAAGGTACCGTATCCCTTCAGTATTCGGAAAGGCATATGTCCAGCCGTGTCTGACACGGCGCTCGAGTATCCATGCTTCCTAGGCCATGGATCTTTTACCATGGATATGGATACAGGTATGATATGACACAAGGATACAACAAAATTTGAAAAAATAGGATATGAATACGGACATGATACATATAGTAAAACATATTTTTTATTTTTACTATCATATGACGATTCGATAGTCATAATTTTTGGGAAAGTCTTTATAAAAACAATTTGAAATTAATCTATATTTTACTTTACCCACTTTGTGAATGTGATTGGCTAAAAGAATCAAAACTAACATTTACTTGGTTTGCTTAGAAGCACTTTTTCTCAAGATATAGGGTGTAGTTAACCCATTTTATGTCTTTTTGAGATGCAGGATTGGATAATGCTTACGAAAAATTCATGTCTTCAATACCAAATAGATTTCTCTTTATTTGTATCATTGTATGTGAATTTGTGAGGAAAGGTAAAGATTAAAATTAAGAACTATACATATTACTCGGCCTTTATACTTTCATATCCGAAGCACATTCATCTTGGATCCCTGTATTCAAGACGTGTCTGGCAACAAAGAAGTATATTGGGAAGATTTCTTTCATAAAAGAGAAGAAAACAACCGATATACCGAACTACATACGTGAAAGGAAACTCATTGTTACTCATATCAAATGGTTCTCTTCATATCAGGAGATGGGTTACTGCACGCTACTAGCTAACAAAAATATGGCTTTCTTTTATAAACAAATATGCCCGGCCGTTCAAAGGCAATTCCATATTCAAAAAAAGAAGGGCAGCTTGAAGCCAATGTTGTATTTCCCTCCCTACTTGCCATGTCTGCTCCGTTTGCTGGTATAACATAGATGTCTTCTCTGGCAATAGCCAATCAAAAAGCCAATGCAGGAGCCATGCCAGCACATTGGGCAAGGAATCTCTTGTTCAGCTGGGATACACATGCTGCATATTCAATAGATATGTTGGAGTATAAGACAAATATTGTATCTGATACGGATAAGTCGACATGAACGAAATATCTTTGCTTCGTAGGTATTGATATCCCATTTTGGTTTGGATGTTGGGTTGAAGTTCACTTGGGTGTTTCTAGTCACGATGAGACTGGGTTGAAATTATAATTTTTTTTGTTTTGGATTTTTTGGTCATGTTTAAATGTAACCTATGCGCGGAGAGTGGGTGTGCAATTTTTGCTTCCACATTGATGAGAACAGCTTTAACATTATCATATTTTTTCTAAACTTCTGTCAATAATGTGTACTGTGAATTGCTACATTGTTTTTAATTCATGAGTTACTGTTTGGGATTTTTATTCTCTCTCATGCTGTTGTTCCAATGTCTACATGGATGTTGTAATTTGAAAAGACAGTTGAGAATATTTGCTATCATTATTATGTGTAATATTCCTCATCCGTGAGCCAAATGTCAACCCTACAGATCAAGGGGCTTCTGGGTGATTATGATGCTATCCATGTTCGTCGTGGTGATAAATTGAAAACTAGGAAGGACAGGTTTGGGGTTGATCGGAGTCTACATCCTCATCTTGACCGGGATACACATCCACAGTTTATTAGTTGTAGAATTGCAAAATGGATCCCACCAGGGCGAACTCTTTTTGTTGCTTCAAATGAGAAGACTCCAGGCTTCTTTTCACCTCTCTCTGACAGGTTAATACATTCTGCAGAACTTTTATGTCTTGGTGCTCTTAAGTGTTGGTGTATGCTGTAGCATGAACATAATTTGTTTATTTCCTATGAAAACTAAAACACATCCATTTGGAAGGATCTGTTGGCCGGACATTTATGTGTTTTTTGTCGAGGCTTGCAGTTTGTTGGCTTTTCTTTTTAACTTCCTCCGATTCAGAACTATATAATTCTGTCGTTGTTAGGGTGGTCTTGGGCTTGTGACAATACTGGTCTCAGGCAGTTTTGATAGAGTTGCAGCCAGCAGATTGACTGTTGCGGCGTTGCCATTTGCGGTGGACTAATAAGTAATAACGACAGAGGATTGGGGAGGTATCAATTGATGTGATGGCAGTTGGATGGGCTGTAGCAATGCTATGGTTGTGGCAGAGATGCTTTTGTGGTGGTGATTGAGTTGATCAGCTGGTTGGTGGTAATGGTAGAATCAAGGACAACAATGGAGGCAAAGGTTGATAAGATGTGTTGTGGAGAGAAGAATTGCTCATTATGAAAAGCAAGATTCCTGTTATCTCTAAACTAATGAATAACCTCTTATTGAGTTTGTTGGTCAAATATGTAAGTTGTCGTACTGGAGACCTTAGAACTAACCATATACATCGGAGTAATGGGGTTTAGGATTGCACCCTGTCTGTCTTTCATGCTACGTTAGCTTCCTAAAGCACACGGGAACTTTCATAAGGATAGGTGGCAGCATGATGCTGGAAGAGTTCTCAAGTATTCCCTGAGTACTAGAAATTAGTTAGAAAAGCTTTAAATCAGGGATAACCATTTACAGTTCAATTTTTTTAGTTGGCTTGAAAACATCTGTAATGTGATGGAAGTTCACCATTACATGGATTACCCTATTTGACCTTTTTGGCGGTCACCATTGCTTGCAGGTACAAACTGGCTTATTCATCAAATTATAGCAGTATTTTGGATCCATTGGTTGAGAACAATTACCAACTATTCATGATAGAAAGGCTTATTATGATGGGAGCCAAAACATTCATTAGAACATTCAAGGAAGGTGATACAGATCTCAGCCTTACTGACGATCCAAAGAAGAACACCAAGACATGGCAAAAACCTGTTTATACTATGGATGGAGAGGGATGCTGACCAGGTTTCATCTAAAAGTTTCCATTTTTACTGACTGCCCAGTGTGTTTTATGATTGCTGATTTCTCTTGTCCTTGTTTCTCGTACACAATACAACTAAGGGAATACTGTTTGGTGCGGCCTTTTGCACAGATTACAAGTGGTATGTGTAATCTATGGGAGGTTAGCTATATCGATCATCAATTGTGGTTAAATCATTTGGGTTTCCTATTGGAGAAATCTGTCGTGCAGTGTCATTTAGTTCGTATCATGCAGGAGCTTGTTGGCAGTTGCATTTATCAATTGCTTCATGAACAATGATATATCATTTATCAATTCATTGTTTTATTTTATTATCAAGATGAAGTTCCTTTTTTATTGCTTTTTTCGTGGTGTGTATAGTGGATTTTGTATGTAACAGAATGCTATGCAATAGAAAGTTTTGGCAACTTTCAGTACAAATAGTCATGTGATGCTTATGAATGATGTGTACCTGTCTCTATTTCTTATATATGTTTTGTTTTGTTTTTGACATGGGTGGATCTTTTAATTAAGTGGCAGCTAAGTGAAAATTCATTATATTTTTTAAAGATGTGGAAAATATGGGAGGAAGAAAGGAAAACCGTTCCAGTTGAGCAATGGTTCAAACCACAACTACCATAGTCCCATGTTTGAGAAATGGATCGGAACAAGGACTTGGATTTGATCTGCTAATAGTTGCTAGCTGAATGCACTCCTTATAATTGATACGATGGGGGGTGGTTCGCCGAATCAATTCCTTTGGGTGTGCATTTTAATTACAAGCTTTAATTTTTTTTCTTCTAATTAATAATAGTAATACAATTTGATATATCGGTTGCATGGTATTTGATTTGATACATGAAACTTCTTTAAACACGAAAAATTGTTTAGATATTTTGTACAACAACGGACTAATTATAATTTTTGACAAGAAGTGGGGCTAACATTCTTATAAAGAGTGGTTGGACATGGTGTTTGTAGAGAGTAATGGATTAAACTAACGGGATAGCTAAGTCTAATGTGGTTCACACATGAGGAAAGATTTTTGGATATTGCATGTGTGAGAATTTCACATCTAATAGAAAAATAAGTTAAAATATCTTAATATAATGTTGATGGACTCAGTAGATATAATCTTAAATTTTTAGGTGAGTATGAGTTCTAGACGCTTATACTAAACCTTGAATTACTAACGAACTCTATCAGTCACATAAGTCAAAGATATGCAGATAAATAAGTTATATTGTACACCAAACAGATTGTTTGAGTAGGGAGATTTTTGTACCGTGTGATAACACTTTACGAAATATTTTTTAAACCGAGAAAACATTACAATTTTTTTTTAAAAAAAGTTAATTAATTAGTACTGCCCAAAAGTGTTTTATATGCGTCATAGGACAACTCAACAAAACTTGTATCACAACTTTGGGGTCCATCGTATTCTATGAAGAACCATATTTTTAATTAAACCATGAATCTTTATGCGCCATAGTATATAACTAAAAACGTTACTTCAATAAGAACACGGATTGAGATAAAATGGGCAGGTATTAGTTAGTCTTCCATGAAGATTCAAATAAGCATGCCCTGAGCAATTTACAGACTAATTCTGCTAGCAATGGTAATAAGTTGGTTACTGAAAAAACAGACTACACAGATGGTAGGCCAAAAGGAAGAAAGACAAGGTAATCAAAATACAATCAAGAAAAAACTATGGTTTCTCATAATGTCCAAGTTGAAACTATAAAATGCATACAAGGAAAGCATTCACGCGGGCAGCAACAGCCAAGGGCATATTAAAGCAATAATACACCTCTGCAATAACAGTTGACAACTAGGGCTGCCTATTGAAACTAGAATGACAAAGCAAACACTACACATCTACATGACTCTCATACATGAAAACTAGATGTCAAATTGGAGCTGAGCTTGTCCTGCGAAGCTGATACTTTGGCTCAGGTGGCGGTGTACATGGCAACACCTTCTCCACCTCCTGCAAGTGCCACCACAATGATCAAAACAGCAGATAATTGTGTATAATGCAAAACATTAAGAAATGAAAAGAGGCACATCATACATTGTTTTGGGTGTTCAATAGCATATCATCATTCGACCCAGAAAAGAGAAATGGGGGTGATGATAACAAGTAAATCCATTCATGTCACTGATAAAGTGATGAATTTTCTAATTTTTCAATCAATAAATTTATCACCAGAAAGTAATCCTTTTCTTATACAATCGAATCTACTAAAGAAATTTGGCTCAGAACAAAAATAACAAGACTATGACAGATGATCAACATACATGTTAACAATGTACCATGCAACAGAATACCAGGGCCAAACTCCATGTATCTTTTTAAGACTTACAGTTTTCAAAGCCAAACAAATCAGAAACATAAACAATGGATAAGTATTAAGTACAGCATCCTTATGAAAAACCTCTGACTGCTTTTCAGTGTTAGTCCTTATTTTGTTTTACTAGTAGCAGGGTAAGTATTTAACTGACAGTCCTTTTTATGTTTTTATCAAAGTTTTTGTGTGTCAAAAGGAAAGTTAAGTATTTAACTGACAATCGTCCTCCTAAGGACTCTAAAAATTTTGAAGATTGGTGTAGTGAGAATTCATTAGTAATGACTTGGTTGTGGCTTAGTATGAAACCCGTTGTAGCTTTTAATATGCAACTTCTTGATACAGCTAAGAAGATATGGAATTCTCTTTAAGTAGATGTACTCACCAGTTTCAGGTTACGGTGTTCTTATCAAGCCTCAACACCAAGTATGGTGTATTTGAGGATCATATTTCGGCTAGTGAGACACTTTCGACCACTGCCAATGCTTATTCTCTCCTTCAACGAGCTTCACTTACTCGTGCATTCCTTTAGCTTCATAGGAGTCTTATGTCTTAATCTCTACTGATGGTAGTCGTGGTGTTTCTCGGGATGGGCATACTGATGGTCATCATCCAACCCAAGGTGGTAGTTGTGGGGGCTGAGGTAGTCGCTTCAAGTGAAAATGTTCTTATTATATGGCCACGGGACAAACTGATGATTATTGTTGGACAAGCATCAGAGACCGGCATATGTTAATCAGGTATTTTGATGACTCACTACCTACTAGATCTACATCTGGCTCTTATGACGCCCTTACTTATCAGCTCAAATAACTTATTCAGCAGTTATCCTCATTTTCTCCTCAGTTGTCTACTTCAGCTGCTGGTTTGGCTAATGCAGGTAATTCTGCACATGTGGCAGCTTAATCAGCTTCACCATCTTGGATTATTGAATTAGGAACTAATACTAACATGTTTGTTATTTCCTCATTCTCTAACTTCCCGTCTTCTAATTCGCATTTTATCTATGGTGATGGTGCATTCTGAACTGTGCTTGGGACCGGTGATCTTCACCCCACTTAATCTTAGTATAAATTTATATGTTCAAGTGTCACTTATCATGTCACCATGATAAATCAAGTATGAGGCTATGTTTCATATCAATTGAGCTATGTGACCAGTCGAAGTTGATTCTTGACTCGGCTGTCCATGATTGTCTATCGATCGAGTTCTTTGGTATTTAATCATTGGTATTTTTTTATTCTTAATCCCCACTTTCAATATTTTATTCTCTATTGAGTTCTTTTAATATTTTTTTATTCTTAATCCCCGCTTCTAATATTTTTCAAGATAATCTATAAGAAAAGGATCAGAGTTGAGATATCAGAAAATTGAAGATTTATAACTTTTGGTTTTATTGTTGGAGGGGATTAATTTGTATATTTTGGAGATTATTTTTACTTGTTTCAAGGTAATTAGAGTTTTGACTCTGTATTTGGAGATATAATTAATGCTACATTGTGGTCAATTTATCAATTAACGCTTCCGAGAAATCAAGGCGTTACACTAGCGCATCGAAATCTTTTAATAATCAGAGTGACAACAAAATTCGAACACAAGATCTATTGCTTTGATTCCATGTTAAACCAGCATCTATTAGAGAGGGTGTAACCTAAATATTTTTATTTCAACGAAAGCCACAACACATCATTTCTCCAATCATCACAATCCAACTGGACTTCACATCACAAACTCACTGGTCTTCATTTAACAAACTCATTAGTCTTACACCCTCCAAAAAATTCTGATGACAAGCTCATCTAATCCAACTCCATTAAGCTCATGTTCAATACCTTTATCAGTGCCCAATTTAAAAACTACTTGTTCTTTTTAAACCCAATTCTCCTACCCAATAGCCTTTTAACAAAGTCAATCTCGACAGGAATGGTAGACCATGGAATTGTGGAAACTGACAAAGGGTAATTTCGAAGATGAATTGAGGAAGTTTTCAAGAACAAAGTCAAAGAAAAAGGCTAGGTTCTTATGTGTCTAGGTATGATCGTTCATTAATTGGTGATCGGCTTCAATTGATGATCAGACTTCGCACTATCCCTTTTGAGATAAACAAGAAGGCCTTCTCGATCACGACCATTAACGATCACGTCGTAGATTAGGCTGGTTCAATATTAATGATTTTTTGCTGAATCAATTGGGATTTAATATTGCATTTCAAATTTAGGGTTTTGAGAAGATCAAAACATAGATACTAGCTTGGAGGAAGAGGGTGGAGAGCAATGGTAGGATACACCCAACACAGACCATGTGCATAAAGGGCAAGGTTGTCATTTCACTTGTACGTGAACAGTAGGTGGAGAGTGCCAGAATACATCTATACATGCAGTACACATATGCACATACATACACCCATTTACATTCCAGTATCTCAAACGATATAATCAGAAAGCTACCACAAAACAATGACACAGCCAATTTCATTAGATGAGATTATTGTGCGCCCCTCATAGCATTGATGACATAGGCAATCATAAGAAGTTTCTCCAACAGTTTTTGGAGATAGGGCGTTTGACCTATCAATAGAGGGAGCAAAAATTGTTGTGGATATTTTCAGTTCTTTTCTTGTCAAATATTACAGTGTGAACCTTTTTGGCCTTCAAAGATGTGTAGCATTTAAAATCACTTCACAATGGGTCTAGGTTTCTTCAAACAGATCCCCTCTGCTAAAAGTTTGTGGACAAGTAGGTTGGCTTCAAAATAGACCTTAGGGTTGCTTTCTATGTTGGTTGAATTTTCCACTAGGTGGCACTATTCTTCTTCCAGAGAGACAAAGTCACCCCTTCTACTGACCCAACCCTTCTGTTCAGAAGTCTTCATCAACATGTTACGAAGCCCCAGTCTTCAGTTTGTCATCTGGATTTGAAAAAACATGTCGAGCAAGGCCACTAGTAGGCTACAGAGCATTAGCCAGATGTTCTTCTCAAGAACAAACTATCATAGAATTTCATGTTGCAAGTGTGAAATACTTGTGATGGAGATATGTTTGGTTGAACACAGGAATATTATTTATTGGATTTTCCATTGTTAAAAGCTCTGTATGTAAAAAACAAATAAAAACACTGAAAGGCACATAAATACCCAGTTCAAAGGCAAAGCCAAGCCTAATGATGCGGGAGTAAATTCTTGGTTGTAAAGACTTGTCATATTTTGAAAGCCAAATTTCTAAGCCACTGGCCCACTGTATTCACTTTATTGAAAAACTATTTTGGTTCGAAGCAAAGTGTCCATGGTAGATTTAAGTCACTAGGTTATTCACTATCTGGGTGCACAAAAATTTAGATATGGTAATTTGTAGTTGTTTTGTTTAGCATTAGGCAAGTTAGTGTAGCATCATTGTAGCACGCTATTGTCATGGGTGTGGGTATTTTTCTGTCCACTGTCGGAGTCGATTGATGGCTTTTGCAAGTAAAGAAGTTCTAATTGCGTCTATTACTGATGAACAGAAGATTAAAGGAGCTTGCAATGCAGAGAGCCAAACAAGAGGAAGTGATGATAAGAATGACAGCAGTAGTGGTGACGAACGACAATCTTGTCTCATCTTGTGTCGACCCTTCACCACACAACTAAATGCTGACAAAGAAGATTGGTATAGTAGAAGTATTTGCCAGATACAACTGCAATGCAATGGCAGTTGTATAGCATGATTATTGCTCTGACTGTCATAGTAATGTCTTCTGAGGAGGTTGTTCGTAATGTTGGAATGAAGACCGAGCTCAGCTCATCCTAATCCATATCAAGTAGCATGGGTGCACAAAAATAATCTTCAGGTTAACCAGAGGTGCTTTTGATTTATTCTATTGGACGATTAGTCAATGATGTGCAAATTCATTACCAATAAAGTGTCTTATATTATAAGGTTGAGCATGGAAGTGCAACACTGTAGGTACAACAACATTTATTCCTTCACATAAAGTGATTCGAGATGACTATATTCCTTCACATATACTGATCTCGAGAAGACATTTGCTCCACAAAAGTACTTTCCACTGCTGAAGCTCAAACAAGCCACAGGTCTATTATTTGTCAAGCTCATCCATGATGGATACAGCATTCTTGGCCCAGCCCATGACTCAAATGGCTTCAGTTCTTCAAGGGGATAGAAATGATGAGGCAGCAATTGCTTGGTTAAGGAAGACATTATTTTGAAGCTAAAATCCATGGGTTTTACCCCATTCAAGTAGATCCAACAAAAAGTGTCCAAGGTCAATTTAAGACCCTACGGTGTTTATTATTTGATTCAAATATTAAGGTATGTTTATTTGTAACTTTGATTTTTTACATTAGGCAAGTTACTTTAGCTTTAATGAAGCACGGTTGGAGAACCCATAGGAATTGGACAGATTAGAATCTAAGTGTAGACTAAGAATTTAAATATTGTTGTCACTTTCATACAATTTTCAATATGGGTTTTAGGGGATGTGAGAGAGAGAGAGATGAATCGGAAAACTTAATTGTCGCATTGAATATTAATTGAAACGAATTTGATTTCTTCTCCTCTTCCTCTCTCATATCTTTGTTTCTCTCTTTCCTTCATTTTTCCTCTTCCTCTTCCTTTATCCTTCCCTGATTCTACGTCCTCCCTTTCTCTTTTCTTTTGATTTTGTTCTCTCTCCTCTCTCTCTTTACTTTTCCCCAACGGTCCTATATCAGTAAATCACTCATAACTTATCTAAACCATGATCTAAACTTGTTAGAGAGAAATTTAATGCTTCAACATTTTTACCAATTGCATTCAATTCCAAGTCAGTCCATGTGAAATTACTTTTTTTTTTTGTTTTTTTTTGGGGTGGGGGAGGAGGAGAGGAGGACTTGAACCCTTGACATCAAAAAAGTAAATCTTTCGTAAGAGAAGGAATACCATTAGACCAAAGGCCCAAGTCGGTCCATGGGAAAATACTCTCCTCCATCTTATCAATCAAAAATATTCTATGTTGTTGAACAACCATCTAATCCAAAAGCTTAAACTTTTTGAGAGAGTGTAACTTAACTATTTATATTTCAACACGCCTCCTTACGTGCATGCTAGATGTTGGGCCTAACACATGAAAATTTTTTAATTATTAGGGTGGCAACAAGATTTGAACACAGGACCTCCTGTTTTGATACCATGTTGAACAACCATCTACTCCAAAAGCTTAAACGTTTTGAAAGGGTGTAACTTAAGTATTCATACTTTAACATATCTCATTATTGGACAAGAATATGCAGAAAAGGTTAGGATAAGCTAATCGGAAAATATCAATGGAAATTATTTGATTTGTGCTCATTTCCAAACATGATCACTCCTAGACATGACACCAGAGATATTGACCCTGATATCTATGATGAAGCAATAATCAAGGCGATGGTGAAATAATTGTGTCATAAACACATCCAAATAGATTAATGATTGTGTCATCTATCAATTAGTTGAACTGTGCAATGGGTTGGAGTTATAAATCACATAAGCATTTGCAAGAAAATAAATAATTTTACTGCTACCAAATGATAGGGATAAAAATGGATCTATGTGCATAATGAACCGATGATACAATATGAAAATAACATTACCAAACTGTAGGTAAAGAAAATAGGGGTTACAAATGAGAAAATCTACCTTCTGTCTCTTAAGCCTCTCATTCTCCTCTTCTAAAAGTGAAACTTTGTTCTCGAGCTCATGGGTGTATGCCTGTCCATCAACATACATATCCCTTATAGCCATTGAAACAAATAAAAAAAAGTTATACGATAATTCTATTGGAAAACACACAGAAAAACTCACTAAAGTCCGACCTGTTTCCTCGCTCGCGACCGGGCTGCAGATTCCCTATTCTTGATCATTCTCTTCTGCCTCCTTTCAACAGTTTTCTCCACCACATCTCCTGGGCTGACCCTTTTACGTCCAGGTGTCTGTGTGTCTGATATTGTGCCAATCAGAGGTGATGGTGACATGGTCATCTGGGTTTCAGGGTAAGCTGCATCCATAATTGGGTTTGTACCTATGGGAAGAGGCTGTTGAACTGGTTGTTCCGGCACAAAAACAGCCAGCATATTCTGTTGGTGTTGATGCTGTAGTTGCTGATGAATTGAGGGGATCTGATAGGGCATCCACTGAGCTTGCTGTGGAATATTTTGTTGGGGCAATGCATCTGGATCAACTCTTGAACTAGGACCTGAATTATTCCTCCCTGGAGATGATTCAGCTACCACCCCTGCTTTAACCAAGAAGTCCTCCAGCGTCATCTCACCAAGAGTAACTTGCCTCTCTTGGGCTTTCCTATCAAGATTACTTCTCTTCTGCCCCTGTTGGATATCCTGCCACACCTCATCAACAGTCCTCTTGCTCATATTCCGGGAGAGCTCAAGGCTTGACTGCCGATTCAAAGAAGAGGCCGAAGCAAGTTGGCCGTGCGGGGTGGCCACATAATTGACTCCACCACCCATTCCCTGATTAGCTTCGGCGGTCCACACTGTCCTGAGAAGCTCATCAAGATTCATGCTGCTAAGTGGTTTCCCCAAATCCCCTAATTGGTGTTGAACTTCATCGAGTGTGAGACTGTACAAAGAGCCTTGCCTAGTCAATGCACTAGAATGGGTTTGGGTTACACCACCACTACCACCACCACCACCACCACCACCACCATGAGATCCCATAGTCTGGGTCCCCATCCACCAGGCTCCTCTACACACACCTAAATCAACTACCCCAAGAAAGAATGAATCTCAGAACCCTTTTAAAAAGGCTAAACTCCTAATCTGCAATCCGAAAAGCCCAAATACATCAAAGATATTGAATCCACGAAAAACCCTTTAATCAACGGCAACTAAACTTCTAATTTATAATGTGAAAAGCTCAAAAATTATTAAAAACACTGCATCCACAAAACCCTATCAAATGCAGCTGCAATACGCCAACCAAGACCAATAGAAAAAACCACCACGAATCATTCCAAATCAAAATAACCATTCAACAGATAGAAATAGATATAGAGAAGCGAATGGGCATACAGAGAACCCAGATCAAATTCAAGAAATGCATACAAATGGAGAACATATAGAGATGGAAAATAGAGGAACAGACTCACCAGAATAACCCCTACCCAGGAAAAAGAAAAAATCTGGGAATCAATCAGCTTGCATGCTGCAACATTTGTCCAACATTCTTCATAAGAGAACAAAACCCGCATGCTTTAAACCACCTGAGCTCAATCTATATAATAGAAATAGAAATATATAAAACTAGTCAACAACGAAACACACCCACATTCTATTATATTCTCTGAATATTCTCTCTTTTTCATACATATATATACCTTTTTACGGCAAAAAGAAAAGAAGAAGAAGAAGATTGGGCTTAATAACAAAAATGTAAAATTTCCTTAAATATCTGAGAAATGACCCGAGAAATTTTTATCGGAGTTGTAAGCATAACTGCTAAATAACTGATAATTTTGTGCCGGTTTGATTGAATGAAAAAATTAAAAAAAAAAAACTCAATTAAAAAGGATAAACCTGGGATTTAGAACTCTTAGAAGTTGTTGCATTAAAACAATGAATCCTCTCAAACACACAACATTTAAGGCATTTTCATGCCATTTAAACATCAAATGTTTTTTATGTAAAATTTCTGGACATCATCAGCTTAATGATCTATTCAAAAAAAAAAAACTACAATTAGAAACGAAAATGGGAAGAAATCCGTATAGATACGCTCACAGAGAAATTTAGGAGTTGGCATTAAAAGCAACAAAAACAAGGGGGATATGGAGTAGAAGAAGTGAAGAACTCACTTACCCGCCCAACGATCCGATCTGTATCCAACAAACTGCCATGTTTTTTAGTGAATGAGTGGGGTCACACACACTTTTCTGTGAAAGCCAGCCCTTTGTCCCCCTTTTTAAACATAACAGGCCTAGGCTCCTGAGTCCTGGTCTGCACTCCTTTCTTCTATTTTTTACTCAAATCTCTTACTTTATGGAAAATCTAATCTAATATTCTACTTAAAAAATTAAATTCTCACTTGTAAAACTATAATAATGGTTAAAATTTAGTTAATTTTTGTCTATTTTAATTCAACGATACACATAATTCATCTCCAAATTTAGGAATGTCGATTCGTGTCGTATGATCCACGTATCGTATTAACGTTATTCATGCCTTATTCGTTTCGAGACTCATAAAAATACAAAAATATATATATATATATATATATATATATATATATATATATATGTATTCTAAGAGTTAAATATTATTTATTATACATATTTAATAATCGTGTTAATTTTAAAGTCGGGTCGGATTGACAGGTCAGAGTTGACTACGCTACCCAAATTTATTTTTTTGCCCAAAAAATATTATTTTCTCTATCGGGCCTCCAATATTAGACAACAAAACTAACACATTCCCCAATTTCGAATAATTATATTCATCCACACTTACTTCTCTCTCCTATCTCTATATTATTTTTTCTCCGTTCACTTTTAATTTTAAATTACATAATTAAAAAAAATAAAGATAAAAATATATTATTATTTAAAATATAAATATGACATAATTAATATTTATTTTTTGGTATCATAGAATGTCTTTAAAAATGAGATTACTGCTAATCTTAACATATGGGTGGTTTCGTGTGATACCCCTGAGCTCATTCATTAGTTGAAAAAATTATCTTATTTGTTTATCATCCAATTACAACTTAATATGTAAAAATGTTGATTATTTTATTACTTTCATGATTAATTACTATAAATCAGTCCAGTTAATAACTATGACTTTATGCTCATTTTTTTAATATAGAACTAAAAAAAATTAACTTCTGATACTATATTCTTATTTGCTCGTTCGGTAGGAGAAATTCATCTATATCCATTGCCAATTTTGATAATGGTTTCTATAATTTTTTATTTTTAATAATGTTATTTAAGTAGCGTATTTTTATTTTTATGTTGTCTGAAAAATTACTTTTTTATCAAATTTATCTCATATTTAAACTTTTGTAAAGAGCAATGGTACAAGGGAAGGTTCCGGGGTGCCTATTCAAGTGAAGGTTCGAACTCTAATCTCGGCCTACATCTCTTCAGGTTCGACTTTTAGGTTTTGACAAAATTAATTTTTAATTTAAATAAAAAAATACTCAAATAAATTGTTTTTGAACGATACATAATAATCATCCTTGGTAAAACCCATTGATTTGCCATAGATTCCATTGATACCAAGTGGAATTTAGTGTACTTGTAGTGGGATAAAATCAATGAACTTAATCTATATTAATGATTAATATGCGCCACATAGATGTCAAATTAGTCTCGTAATAAATTTGGATTTAATCCAATTATCATCCGACATGAATTTTACATTTATCTTTATATAATATATGATGAAAGTAAGTGATTATTAATGAAATTATGTTGAAAAATAGATTTAATTTGTTAAAATACAACTGGATTTAGCTTTTCTCAATTGAATTAGATTGTTGGGTCGATATCTAATTCTTAAAGAATTCACAAATGGATTATGAAAATAAAATCAGTTGAACAATCAAATCAGATTCAACTTGAAAAATTTTAATCGGTTTCAAATTTTGAGTAAGCTGCAATCCGATTCAAATTCAATCCGATGACATGTCTACTCTCAATAATTTTTAAAAGTTTATTCTAAAGCTTGTTATTCTCTGGTCCATATATCTCACTATCTCTTTTTTACGATTATTAATTTGAATATACTGATAAAAGCATGTTTAACGTAATTATAATAACATTATTATTATTTTTTTGTACAAAAAATAAATATACAGATAAATCACTTTATATATCCGTCAAAAAACACTATCCTTCAACATCACTCAATTATCTATAAAAGATTTCACCGCACCTATGTCAAAATTAAAATTAAAGTCTGACTGCGTGCACCAAGTACTAAAAAATAAATTTAGTCCCATCAAACTGTTAACCTAATAAATAAAAACTAAAATTTTCTCGTCCAATACTTAATTTTAAATCTCTTTACCTTGGTAATAACATTATCTTGTCAAGGTGATGTTACCTGTGGTACACACATCACAAACTCTATAAAGAAGTGTGCTCTACTACTACTAATACCCTGGTTATGAGTGACAATTGGCACAATCTAACGTTCAATTTAATTTTTTTTTTTAAAGGTGATTTTGGGGGTAATGATTCAATGAATGTGGCACCTTTGCATATTATTTTTTTTAGGCACATGATGGCAAGATTACTCGTATGCTGATGGGTGTTCGGTAATAGCAGCCCCAGGGCACGTGCTATACACCAAACTCAATGCCTTTTCATTTTTGACGTAACTCAATTGCTGCCCTACCTGCAAAGGCAATGTGTCAACTTAAGTAATGACCCGATCCTGAGTTCTAACATCCAATTCATCATCAACTATTGAAGGGGCAATCAAGATAGTGTCCAATTTATCTTTTTTTTTTATTTTTTATTTTGCTACAATGTGTTCAAATTTGCGCCGACTACTCCCTCAGAGAGTTGTTTTATGTACGAAGATGGGTCAATAAATAAAGGAAGTTAAATGACATAAAAACAAAAGCTCTGCCTCAAAGAGTTGCATGCTACAATTCAACCATACTAGTAGTAGTACACTTACAACCTACATAAATAGCATAAGTTTTTTGTCTGCCCATATGCTACAGTCGTCACAAAAGTGTTGAAATTATCATTTCAACTAATTCTGGACTGCTAGCATATTTGAGGCTATCTATTGATGCAGATACATCCGTTTCACCTGAAGCGCCTGCCGTCAACTACCGATCAACTGAAAAGAGAAGGCAACAATGTGAGTTCATTCCTATAAAAAGTAAACTCAATGAAGAGGAATACCAAAATAGTTTACAAAGCTTCATTTCTCATTAAATTACTTTTCTGGCAAGTTTTCCCCAATGTCATGAAAAGTATGGTAAATCACAATATGATAATTGGCATATGGTTAATTCAATTCAGATCGTTACAGGAGAGGGTGCCCCCTGGATTCCAAGTTAGAGATTGCATTCAAAATATTTGCTGAAACTTGAAGCTGAAATCTATATCAGGGCCAACCTATACAAATATCAGCGACAATAAAAGTCTGATGACAGATCCATTTAATCCCCGAGTGGGAGAACAAATTCAGATCAATGACCAACTAGACTAACCCACAATCTAATCTTTGTTCATATTGCATTTTTTTCTGCAAACTGAAACGGATACGAGAACAAGACCACACACACAAAAATGCTCCACAAAGCCTTCTCCCAAATGTCCTCAATTAAATCAGAGGAGAAACTAAAAGCTAAGAGGAAGTAACTAAAATTTTGAAGGATGGTCTGATTCAACATGACTAAGCCTTCTCCCGAATGTGTCAGGCTAGCTCATGAATTCTGTTTTGCTACTCTACAATGTCCAGGGCTACATTCTCTAACAAGGATGTGTTATACTTTTAATTCACGACAGGAAGGGAGTATATTTACGAAGTCCAAGTTAATCAAATGCACCCCATCATGCAGTGTACGTTTCCTTTGAATGCAGACTACACCATTTGCAAGACTTAAATTAACACTAGGAATAATCAACAGTTAAAATGGAATGTAAACATTTACACCTACCTGATTTCATGTATACCTTCATACTTTGCATTGATTAGCCCTACAAAGTATATGGAAGACGTGAAGCAAGATTACACAGAAATTATACCACAAGAATGCAACAAATAAGAGATATCTGACCTTTTTCCATGGGCATTAGATAGCAAGTTCCCTCCTCAGCAAAGTCCACTGTAAACTATTAATAAATATAGCCTCTGCATTTGGACGATCCACACAAGCATTTTTTCCTCTGGCCTGGTGTGTCAGACTGAACTATCCCGTAATCATATGTCAACTCTTGCATAGGAGGAATGTGTCTGATTGCATAAAATGCAATATGGAGATATGATTCCATGTTATTTTCGCACAAAACTGGCTTCCAGAACACATTTGGAGAACAACTATGGTTCATAAAACGAGCTACATTCCCATTATGTTTGGCAGTTATAACAAGAGGAAAAGGGACTTCCATGGACTCATCAGAACCTGCACGCACAGCTTCCCCCAGCTCGTATGTCCGAGTAGCATCAAAAATATAATTGTCTTCATTTTCACTCCCAAGCTTCTCGAGCGTCGACATATCAATGACTTCTCCTGCATACTCACAAATAAAACTTCCCCCACGGATGGGATCCCAAGACCTAAGTCCCCAACCTCTATCCTTCGTTTTAAACACCTCCAGACAGACTTTCAAACCTGCTTGAGACACTCGATTCCGGCAGTTAGGAGGGCAAGAACAGGAAGAACCACACTCGTGTACTAAAGATTTGTAACTCAGAACCACCCCAAGTGACGAATGAGAGAGATAGCCTCCATTCTTTTGGATGCAAGGGCAATTGGAGTCACCAGGTTGGCATCCACCTAGGCAAGTGCAGCCCAAAGAAGGTTTGGGTGAAAGAAATGGTTTCGAGTATCTGAGAATAGGAAGATATGTGAAATAAGCAGGCCCTTTTTCACCATCAATATCGTTTACAAGAGAAACGGGAAGACATTCAGCCCCTGAAGTAAGGTCTGGCAGGATAACCCCATTCCTAGAAATAAAACCATCCTTCCATTGCTGAACCTGTTTCCAGATTGTAAATGCTTCCGGCTGACCAGGTTCTCTGACCAATTTGTATTTAAAAACATTGCAGCCAGAATTTCCTTTATCCACCCATGACTCCTGGATTCTATAGAGGCCGTCATAGACATATATCTTCCCAGGTGAATTCGCAAAATCCTTGACACCCCGAATGACCCTTACATCATTTGCCCGATGCAGGCTCTTTTCCAATGCAAGATTACCCCTTTCAAGTTTCTGATCCATCATTTGCTTATCTCTCCTTTGAACTCCACCCTGACCGCTGTAAATTAAAACATCCCCATCCTCCCCATCATCCTCATAGCCTCCAGATGAAACAATGCTGACAGCCAATGGGTCTTCATCTACAGTGAGCTTGGCACCCATGTAATCTATACCAGCCATACTTGGAGAATGTAATCCCACCAAGCACAATTCCATCCTAAAAAAGAAAATATCCCCGACTTCAACCCCAGGTACAGCTCCAATCCTTTTCTTGGTATTTGTCCGGATCCCTTTAGTCATCAAGATTGTACCGGCTCTCAAGTCTGGACGTCTTGTAACCCCTGGACTTGCCTGCTTCACATCTTCAGCCTGGGTTAACCTTCTTCGTAGCAAATCAAAACCCAAAAGTACGCGTCCAACCAACTCCTTGTCGCCATCAGTGCATTTAACAATATCCAATCCTGTTAGACCACATGATGTAACAAGGCTATTAACTATTGAGTCAACGTCGACACCACGTGTAGACAAGTTGACATGTTGGCCCTTCCTTGCCTTCTTCTGGGATCTCTTTGGCCTGCCCCCGTTGCTGGTATCTTCTACATCAGTAGCATGCATACTAAAGCTAGTATTCTGGGAGTCACTATAACCATCTTCGTCTGCAGCACAATTCTTGGATCTCCTCTTTGATGGCCCCGTGCCTCCATTTCCTGCCCCTGAGTACTGGGATGGGACTTGTGCCATTGGTGTTCTAAATGAATTCAGGGGAACAGGTGATGGTATTGGGTTATTAAAACCATGAGGCCCTGTCTGGTTGGGTACAGCAATTGGGGTTTGTGGATTCTGTTCATTTGGTCTTTGAGAATCATTTGGAACAAAAAAAGGATAAAACGGTGCAGTCCCAGCTGGGAAAGGACCGGTTGGAGGGACACACATAAAGGGGGGAGCTTGGGGATTTGAAAATGGAGACCCATCAGGTGAAGTTGGGAATATTGGAACAACACATCGCAATGGCCTAACATTTAAAACCCTAGACTTATCGATATGGCCAGAAGTAGGGGCAGACGCCGAGCCCAAACCTTGTTCCATAAATCAGACTTTCAGGCCACACAATCACTATGTCACTAGTTAAGTCCACCCCAAAAAAAAAATACAATTTTTCACTTCCTCCTCCCACTCAATTTTCTTCTTCTACTCCCAACCGTCACAAACCAAAACAAATTAGCTAATACATACGATGAAAACAACAGCAACTGTAATTCATCAAAATATGCAATAAATAAGAAATAGAAGAAAATCTTGGACCACCATTACTGGTTGAAACTGCTTCCCTGCAACATGCAAGCAGAAATATGTTAAGAAATAAAAGAAACACAACCAAGAATCTGACCTACCACTCTAATTTTCATGAGCAAAGCAAATAAACCCAAAACAAGTTAAAACCCTAGAAACCCAGTAACATATACCATGAAATGAAGTCTGATACAAGTATACGCACATTCCAAGGCAAGATTAGAAAACCCAATTCAAGGCTAATGAGAAACTGGAATATAAGAGCAGACAATGTGAAATTTTGAAAAACTAAACGGTATTGGAAGGAAAAACTAAACAGGGTTGCATTGGTTTATGTATGAAATGAAGAAGTTAAAAAAAATGTCAATCATTCAAACTAAGAAAGGAAGCAGATGATGGAGGGCCAAATTTACCTCCAGAAAACTTACCCAGAAAAAAATTACCTTCAGAGAGAGAGAGAGAGAGAGATCAGCAAAGAGCAGACAATGAGTCGCATGCCTGCTTTCCCAAAACCAGTCTTTGTCTGGATTATTTTTTATCACCTGTGGTGATATCCAGTTTTAAGTTGAAAACGCTTGTCATCTTATTCGAGTGGATGTGGGACCATAAGACGTTTTGGTAGTGCAGACAGCAGGACACATCACTTTTCTGCTGTTTCAAATTTCGATTGAGTTGGGGTTATGGGTGTTTCTGATTTTATGCGCGGAGCACGTGAACTAAAGATTTCAATCGCGAAACTCAAAAAAACAAAAAGGCTGACCGAAGATGTTGTATTTCAAATTTTTATTTAAATATAAATTATTATTTAATTAAAAAAAATTAATTTGATATAAAATATTTCAATGAAAAAATATAAGTTTAAACTAGTAATGCAAATCCAAATTCAAAATAAGATAGAATATGATAATTACAACTTTAAAGAATAATAAATTTAACCATTGAAAATTTAAATAAAGAAATTAAGATAAAATTTTATTATTTTTTTTGATTTAGTATGAGTTTAGATATAGAATTTTTTTTTTTGAGGGGAGGGTTTAAGGATTTTTTTTAACTAAACTTAAATTTAAGTTTAAAAAGGAGTAGGGATTGGAAATGCTTAGTGGTAACCACATTAATAAGTTTTATTTTTTTTATTAATTGCTAAAGTTCATAATTCAAATTTATTGAAATTATATTTTATAGGAAAAATTTTAGTTACACCCTTTTTAGTTTATTATATCTTTAAGGACACCCCCTTTATTTATTGAATTTTCACTAACACCCTCTATCAGATTAAAAGTATTAATTAAAATATAATTTTATTAAACTATCAGTGATATATTTGACAAAATACTTCATCCACACACCCTCTATATAGAAATATCATAAATGAGATCCATCTATTTTCTAAATTTTTTTAGGTATTAAAATTAGGATCGATAAAAAATTGATTCAAATTAATTAAAAAAAAATTAAAATATTAAAATTCAAATTGATTAAAAATTATATTTTTTTACATATTAAATTTTATTCGAGCCAATTAAAATTCAAATCAAATTTTAATTAGCTCGCATTAAATTTTAATCGATCCCAATTTTGATACATAAAAAAATTTAAATTTTATTCAATTATAATTTTAATAAGTAAAAGATAAATTTTAATTAATTTGAATTAAATATTAATTAACACGAAATTTAATAAGTTAAAAATATAAATTTTAATTGACTCGAAATGAATTTTAATCAGCACTAACAGTTCAATTAGAGCTTAAATCAATTCGAATTTTTATACGTAAAAAATGAATTTTAATACACTTGAATAAAAAAATAATATGTAATCTACTCGAATAAAATTTTAATATGTAGAAAAATAAATTTTAATCAGCTCGAATTTTATGTAGAAATATTATTTGAGATTTATGTAAGGGTATTTTTTGTATTTTAGATAAAAAAAATTATTATAAATGGTGGTTTAATGGTAGAGGGATGAATAATATTTAAATATAAACTATAAAAAGATATCACTGATATTTTTTATAATAGAATAAGATGCTCTTAAAGATATATACAAACTAGAAGACGCGTGATTGTAATTTTTCTTATTTTATAATAAATTGTTTATTAAATATTAAAAATTAAAAATATTGATAGATATATAGCATGCATAAACAAAACAAAAGAAAACACTATAAATTTTTAGCAATAATGAGACTAATTATTGTTATTTATAGTTGACTCTAATGAGTTTTTGTCGATTGAAAGCGTTATAAATTAATGTCATGAACAAATACTTTTTTCTACATTAGTTGAGGCCCACATGTGCGGCAATTGGATTAATGTGAGTTGTAATTTAGGTTTTTTTTTTTTTTTGTACTGTTAAATATTGCGTTCAAATTGTTTGAGTATGTGTTTGTCGATGTACTTTTTATTAAATGGCAAAATGTGAACCATAAAATACTTTTTCACCAAACTATATATTTTCACTTTTGACTATTCCGCTCGCTACATGAATAAATATTTTTTGAAGCGGTAGAAAGGTTTCGACAAAAAAAAAAAGTGATAGAAAGGGAGAAAGAAATCGGAGAAAAAAAAGATAAATCAGTAAAAAATCAAAATTAATGGTGAAACGAATTTCAATTGAGTTGAAATTTTAATATGTTGTTCTCGAGGTTATGACAATATCTATCAGAGTCAATTAAATATTTGAGGTATGGGAGTAGTATATTATATGTTTATATTTTTTAATCTCTTTGTAAATAGTATCTTATTAATTATCTTAAAATTTGTATTCTTAATTGATCTTTTTGATGGATATAAATTTTTGTGTTTTTTGCTGTGCTAGTTATGTTTTGAGCTAATTACTTTATGATTGATTGGTAAACGTACAAAGTACATTTGTGAAATATTTTGTAAAATATTCTAAACAATAAATAAATAGTTAGCTACTTAAAATTTTAACATATTTTTAAGAAATGCTTAAATTTTTAAGTAATGAGAGTTTTGATCATCAAACCTACTTGATTAAAAACATATGCAATTTTAAGTGCTGAATTGATTTATTAAACACCATCGACAAAGTTTTTGTCAAGTCGAATATTTGAATTAGATACCCACATCGCTTATCGGTTCTTATTCTTGTTTTCTTTTAAATCTACATTATATTAATGAAATACATAACAAAAGAAAAGATTCTCAAGTTTTAATGAACCCTTTACACACACTTCCACCATATAATATAACTAGACAGGTCCCTATCTAATTTGGCGTATAATAAAAAATCATTCAGAGAATTACATTCAGATTTCAGACTCTTTAAAACTTATCACTTAATCATTCAGGTCCCTTAACATTTAAAATATTACACATAGATATTTTAAAGCTTGTATGTACATAACACTTAGACTCCTGCTGTAAATATATCCGTTATTAAATTACATTTAGACCCCTCTGAAGTTTGTAGATATATAATACTTAGACTCTTTAAATTTAAAATATTATATTTAGACAAAAAATACTCCAATTAAAGATAAAATATCAAATATTTTAAATTTTACAATCAAAAGTCATGTTCTATTGTATCATTTATTGAAATAAAATTAAATTTATTATTAAAAAGTTACAATTAGTATACAATTATACTATCTAGTGGAATAAAAATAAAATAAAATAAAGGGTCTAAGTCATTTATAATAGAATATAAATTTTACATCCAAAATTCATATTCTTATTATGTCATTTATTGAAATAAAAGTAAAAATAAAAATCTAATTTTTTTAAAAAAATTTATAGTTAGTATATAATTATACTATCTATTAGAATAAAACTAAAAAATTAAACAAGGGTTAAACTGTAATGGATACAATATATTTTAGTTTTAATTGAAGTAATTTGGTATTTTAATTTGATTGTTTAAACTACCAAATTAAATTATAATAGGCAATATAATTGTATACTAATTACGATTTTTTAATAAAAAATTGAATTTTTATTTTTAATTTTATTTCAATAAACGATACAATAAAATGTGAATTTTAATTTTATAATTTAAAATATTTAATATTTTATCTTTAATTGAAGTATTTTTTGTTTAAGTATAATATTTTAAATTTTAGAGATCTAAGTAATATATTTTTACAAACTTTAAGAAATTTGGGTGTAATTTATTAATAGATATATTTATAATAGAGGTTTAAGTGTTATGCGTGCATAAATGAGTCTAAGTAATTAAATATCAAACCTCAAGAGAGGTGTCGGTGTTATTCTCCTAAATACATTTAATACAATGAAGAAAATGTTGTTCGCAGTTTATTAATAATAAGAATTAGATAAAGTAACTATTTTGCAGAAAATGAGTGAATTCAGGAATGAAATGAAAAACGACGAGAATATTCGAATAGAAAAAATGAAAAATATGAGTCATGCCGAGCCAACGAGCACGAGAGAGAGAGAGAGAGAGAGAGAGAGAGAGAGTAGCGTTGGGCGGTTTTGTTGCTTCCCAGAGACTTGGTTTTGAGTGAATGTGTTTTCTTGGTAAAGGATCCAAAGGAATTACACTGCTCTATCCGTAATGGAAGGTGAAATTTCTCTCCTCTCTCTCTCTCTACAACCTAAATTGCCTCTTTTTTTTCTGACTCTGACCGCTGGGTCTTACAAATTTTGACTCATTTCAGTTGGTCTTACCGTGATGTTATCTGAAATTTGGGTGTGTTTTGTTGTGGTCTATTTGATTTAACTGGAATATAATGACACACAAGTGGAATTTCATGGGGCTGTGATTTTGTTTAGCTTGATTCCTTTACGACCAACCGGAATTGGAATCGGGTGTCTGTGTTTTTGGTATTTGTGTTTGTGATTTGATGGCCAAGAGTCTTTGGCCAGTTTCCTCTTCATCTAAGGGCTACGTTGCTTGGAATAGATAAACTGGAATGTGTCTGCATACAGCAATGGAGATACAATAGCTTAAAATTTGAGTTGGAATTTTGTCTTGAATTCAAATCTGTAGCGTTTTGTTGTTCCATTTTGGTTTGTATTGAAAGTAGAGTCGATTGTTTGTTTCATTTGAGTGAAAATTTATATGGAACTATGGAATCTCACTAGTGATATGACCATGTTGAATAGGGCAGTATCGAGATGTGTGTGTGTGTTTAAGAAACTGTGAAAACAATGCCAAGTGCTAACCAGTCTATTATGTTACTTATGCCTCTTCTATTCAACACCTGATTTGCTTTTCCTATGCATTTGCGGGAGGAAACAACATGGTGGACTTGGAGGGAAAGTACATCACTTCTATCTTACCTAATGAATTGACAAGCTATGAATCCCTGTTTTCCAATCTTTCCTTTTAAAATTGGGCTTTTATTATATATTTTAGGAGGATGCATGGCAATTGAATAAAAGTGTTGGTTCCAAAATCAAGAACCTCATTCCCTCTCTAAAAAAGAGTACATTGGGCAAGCTTTGGCTGGGTATGTAAACAACTTAATTGACCATCACACTGTATATTCATTTCCCTTCATTTCAGTTATCCAAAGATAAACGAATACAACATGATGTTTGCTTCTTTTTACTTAGCTACACAGGCATAGTTTCACGGACCTAAGAGCCAATAAATTATGGCTGGAGTTAGCTTCTCCAATTTATTTCACTTCTTTATAGGTGGTTTCATTCCAAGGATGACTCTATTTTTGCCC